CTCTCCCTCAGCGAGTTACTCAAGAGCCTGCCGTACCTTGTTGAGGTGAGTGCAGGAGTTTTTATTTATTTTTATCTTCTTAAAACGGTCTCTCTACCAATACTCCCACACAGAAGCAGAAACTGACCGTTTTATCTTTTGTCTTTCACAGTTGTACCATGAAGAAAGTGATGACTGCAACAAAGCCTGCAACACTAACGGTGGTCGTGGTGAGGAATGGGTGAGGCTGACCAGGCTTTACCAGTTTGCCCGTAACATGCGTGCCCTGCTCCATACCTACCATTACAACCAGATCTTCCTCACAGAGTTCCAAGGGGCTTATAACAAGTTTACAGGCTGCAGCCTTGAACCACGTTCCTACGGATACATCAACACTGATGAGCTGCTCAGCGCCATTCCACAGGTTGGAATGAATTTTGTTAGTTACTTTTACTCAATTGTTTGTTTTGATTTCAGGACCACCCAAAGCTTTAACCTAATCCTGCATTGTTAAATCTTACACAGTCCTTGTAGTTTGTTCTTGTGTCCTCATATTTCTTTGATTGTTTTGTGTCGTCATCAGGTGGTCTGGATCAAAGGGCACGGTCGCAAGAGGATTATTGTTTTGAAGAACGATATGAAAGGTAAAGGTGATGGGGGCATCTTTCTCATAGCAAGTTTCATATGATCATTTCAGACAGGGGTCATTTTTTAGAGGTCTTAACTGTGGGTGCTCCTGGGAACAATTGGCGGTGCCTACACAATGTATGGACATGTGTTTGTGTGTATTTTGTTTAGCAAGGGCAAGCTCTTCAGCCCCCAACAGCCCCCAGCCAGGAGAGGACATGGAAAGCCCGAGAGACAGCCCAGTTAGCAACGCAACGTCTGGAGCCCAAAGTCCAGGTAAGGTCACACAAGTGCACTTTCTTTTTGGTTCATCATCAAAAAAATATCGAAGTAATTAAAATTCTAAGAATGGTTGACTAGTGATATAAAAATTAAGGGGGTGAAAATGATGTTTTGACTGGAATGTTTTCAAAGATAGCTCTGCTCTCAGTCAGTCTAGCTGGGATGAAATTTAGATTAAACAGTCATGTTCTCTTTTTTTTTTTTTTTTTTTTTTTTTACCTGCCAGGTGGCGACGAAGCAGCAGAGTCAGAGCTGCTGTGTTTGACGTCACCTGTAGACCTGCTGTGTGGTCCTGTACCATCCTCCCTACCCTCACCTCAGCTCCACCCCGACCCTGTTCTCCTCCAGGAGACGGACCTGATTCACTTTGAGGAGAAAACTCCATCGCCACAACCACCAACAGGTCAGTTTGAATGTATTTTGTATTACATTTTGAACCCATATCGGCTCATAACAAAATCCTTCTGGTAGTATTCCTGTAAGGCAATAAGGTTGCCCTGACTGTGAGATTTCATATTTTTCAATTTTACTTTAGAAATCAGGTTGTCAACTAGGGCTGCAAAATAACAATAATTTTCATTGTTGATCCATTTCTCGATTAATTGATCAAATAAACCGGAAAATATTCATAGAGAAGCTGAAATGAGAGAATATAGGCACTTTTTCTCGCTCTGTTATCAAAATATTTTGATATTAATAATTACTTGCTAATCAATTATTCGTGTAATTGATGCAGCTCTATTCTCAACTTTACAGAAATTGATGCAAGATTTGCAATCACTTTTGTTTTTTGGCTCCTAATTCCAAAATGATATGTGCCTTAAGCCAGTCAGCTTGTCTGTCTTAGATGCTTATTTTAAAATTTCATGACAAATTGGAGGATTGCGTGGCCTTGGCACCGATGTGCGTTCTAGTTATCAAAAAAGATGTCTGCAAAAGGGAACAAAAATACATTTTAATGAGCACATCACACTTTTGTTTGCACCCTTCCCGTCTTTCATTAGGTGTAAACTCAGTCTGTGTGTGATTTTCAGTGAGTGATGAACCAGAGGTGGCAGCTGCAGCTGCTCCTGACAGCACATCTGAGCAGCCTGGCAGCACAGAAGACTCTGTCACCGAACCTCCACTGCCCCCTAAAATGAAGACCACCTCCTCCATGGACAGTCCCAGCAGAAGAGCCACACGCAGCAGAATTAAGCTAGCTGCCAACTTCTCATTCACAACAGGCCCCTGATCCCATTCACCCATTCACACATACACACAAAGCAATACTAGTTCACACATAGTGTAACTCTAAATGCAAGAGTTGACTGGCTACACTGAACACGCTACACAGAAACAACCCCAGAAGAGCATTGGTATTGTCCCCTCTACATCTTAACAGGCTGTTGCATTCTTCTTTCTTCTCAATCACTCATTGCCGTTCTTTGTTTTTTTTTTTTTTCGTATTTCGTAATCCGTATGTTCTTCCGATGTTCACCTAGCTGTGATTTTCTTCTTGCAGATTTTCTGCAGTTATTTAATTTGCCAAATTCATCTACTGTAACCTGTGTTTGATTTGATCTGAAGGGAAGTTAATTTATATTCCCATGTGCCTCTTCACTTTAGAGCCACTTTGTGTCGAAGAACACTCGCTGGCTCATAATGAACGCAGAGTCTAAAAAATGAGGTAGTTGTCACTGTATAGAATATTGGGAGAAGTGCTAGGGAGGAGTAACTAAGTTTTCTATGTAAAATCCAAGAAATGTAGTTATATTCTCAGTTTATAAGATAAATAACAAGGTTTTTAGAGATGTTTTTTGTTCATGTATCATTGAGAAACCTTCATGTATACTCCCAAATGACAGAGCATTTAATTTATGATGTTCATTCATTTTTGAACTCATTTCAAATTTTTGGAGATTTTGGTTTGTAGGTAACTGTAGACACGTCAACTGAACAGGCTGCTAAGCACCTGTCCGTTTTATTCTACTCATTCTAGTCTACTCTTGGGTAAAGATTTCTTAAGAGGTAGCTTCTCTTTGAGAGGTACATTCTCGACTTCCGTCTCTGTTGTAAAGTAGCCAAAGGACAGTATTTTCAGTTTCTTTTGTATTATGCAAAGTATTTAGTAGTCTGTGGAAGTGTTTGGCCTAAACTTGTGGTGTTTTCGGTGGCAATTCAATGATGAAGAGATGAGTATTTGTCTGTTCAGATGGTGGCTTTTGTAAATGAAAGCTAACGTTCAAGCGTGGATGGCAAAGGTTTTGATATTGTGACAAGCACTGCTCTCAGGAATTTTTATTCTTGTAGTACTTTGACCTAATTTATAGCAAAGATTTTGGCTCGTCTCTCCAGGGGCCACTAATGAAACCCTGAAAGGGAAAAAGTGCCCCTGTAATACTCCAGGTTAGTGCTTGGGCAGCAGGGACTGAGAGATACTTTGATTGTTCGGCTTTAGCCAGCGGCCAGTGTGTTTGTGTTCTTTTTAGCTCTATTTTGTCTGTGTGTGGTTTACACTGGAGTAGGTGGTGTGAAATATGCATGGTGTGCATAAATGAGTTTATGCATGGTGTAAGCCCAGGAGGAGCAGACTAATGAACAAATGATGGTAGGACATTCTTTAAGATCATTCTTTATTTCCACCATGTTTTAGAGGTCTTAAGAGTTGGCGTCACCTTTGCAGTTGCCACATTAGATGCTCAAGGTTTTGTTAAGTTAACCTTGTTGCTGGTAGTTGCTGTATCTGTGGCGACGTCCCTACTGCCTGAGTTGAAGGGTTCGAGGGGAGCAGTGAGCACTCCTGAGTTTTGATTTTTAATGACGAGGTGAATTGTTGTGAGTTTTTAGGGATAAGAGATGGGACGGGAGGCGGTAGGCTGTTTGTGGAGCACCTCGGGGGCTCTGCGAAGCCTCCTGAACAGACTGTACACACAGAGGGACCCTCTGCGGCTCTCTGGAATCTGCCGGGCTTTTACAATGGCTTGTATTTGCCACGGTGCCAAAGGAATTGCCGTCGTACCTCCCCCACCCCTCGCATCTCACATAGGAGTTTTTACTTGCTTATGTGTGTTGGTTTCTCCATTTTCCTCTGCCTCAATTGTTTACAAGACTGCTGGCTGCCGAAATGCCACCAAATGATGTCGGCTGCATATGAAATTTTTGCACAATCCAGGCGCCACTGAAGTCAAATGATTGTTGTTGTCGTCGTTTGTGTTCAGAGAAAAGGTTCAAAGAAATGGGTAAGAGCCCATTTTATCAGTTTCTGTCCAGTTTCAGGGTTTACCTCTTCAGGCAGTGTTAATACAGTTTTCTTTGTCAGACTTGATTATTAAAAAAATGAAACCTTTAAAGCAGAGGGATTCCAGCTGCCAACTCACCAAAACGTCTGAGATGCCAATCAAAATGTTTTTAATTGGGGCTGTTGGGGTTCAGGTCTCTCCTGCAATGTTTTACTGACTGTCTGGAAACCTCCTTTTGATTATGGAATGAGCAGTTAGGAATAGTTAATGATTTAGAATTGGTAACAATAGGGATTAAAATGCTCTCAAGAGATGTCTAGATTTAACTTTGGCAGTAAGAATGTATTACTTTTTGTGAATTTGAGCAAAACCCTAGATCTCCCTCAGAGGACTGCAGTGGCAACTAACTCAGATGACAACATTAACTTCCCTGTTTAGCTTTCTCTCTTTGGTTTGGTTACATCAGTGAGACGCTATTGTACCTGTCAAAATATGCACTTTTGCATAGTTTTGGTTCATGAAATACAAATGTGAAATTAGTTAGTGGCCAGAGAGGGGTTGAAACATGTTTTTGTGTCTTTACCTCAGTTTCTGTTTAACTGTATCTGACCTCGTCTTGTTTATTCAGTTTTCACATTGAACAACAGTTCTTCTGTTACTCAGCAGTGTCCTTAAAACTCCTGCCTTGTGATTATTCTTTATCGGGTTAACGATTGTCTCTACATTCGTCTCCGTCACACCGTTTTACCGCCTCACTGCACCAGAAGTCGCTGTAACAGTCTAATGTTGAAGGGACCAAAAAGATTTCCGTAAATAAATTTCACAAGCATCACTTCTGCCTCCTCTCAGTATTTTTGTGGTTGTTTGAAAGAATCAAAATAATCAACAAAATCCTGAAAGATGCTCTTTATTTAAACATATATGTACAGGTAGTTTCAGCTTATTTTCTGCATATTTGTTCAATATTCAACATTAGGACCTTCATAAATTCACTACTACTACAGAACGCTATGTTATCAGAAGGTAGGGGAAGTGACAAAAGAGCAACACTTTGCTTGACATGAGTCACTAATGTCCTAAATACACTCAAACATACACCGTCTATTGTAGGCATTTACAAGAGAATTGCATTCATTTCCTGGTGTTTATCATAAAAATGCAAGACTAAATCAGAGGATGCAAGTTGTTTGCTTGTCAGCAATATCCTAACTGAATGATGTCACACTACCAGTATCAGGAATTCCTGGTAGGTTGACGTCGATATGGCCAGTGATGGGACTCTGGGGAAATGAGCAAGCATAGTGGACAATTTATATATTAAAAAAAAAAAATTAAAACCCTACCATGTTGAATAAAATGACTTGTGTTGGTGTATACAGTATACAGGGGTTGACCAAAATAACGACCGGTCTCTACAACACCTGCTGATGCGCTGTTACAAAAGTGGGTCGTATGAGACTGTATGCCAGTTAGTGGCTATAGAGTGGAATGAAAACGTTTGGTCACACGTCTTAAAGTTATAAGTTTCAGATTATATTTTCCTAGATATTTTATATAACATTAAAGTGGGAGGATTCTGCATTTTTAGCATACAAAACCTTTATCAGATCTCAATGTAATATCCTTAATGTGAATTTACTGATATGATACACTGTTGTACAGGACGGGTTTGGGTTTGAAAATACCCCCGGAGAATCCCTCCAGACAAGTATTAAGACATACAAATGGTCTAAATTAAACAATGTCTGATGTTTTTCTTTCTACAAAAAGTAAAAATCCCTTAAAAGGCTTTTAATCCTTCTAATTAAGACTTCCAGAATATATAAATATGCAAATGTTCATTTCTGGAGTTTTCCTGCTTGACGCAAGATGTCTCCTGCTGCACTGTAAAGTCTCAGTGTCTGTGCACAGCTGGCTTCAGGTTTCTACATCACACTGCTAGATCTCGGGTAGTAAACTCCATTTAAAACACCTGAATACTTTATTTTTCACAGCACTGTATACTGTATGTACAGTGTATATTCCTATGGTCTTATTACCACTGTTCCTCTATGGTGGAGTTTTAAAGGACATGAAGCACCTGCTGCTGAGGCTGTTCCCTTGGACATGAGACAATAAATAAAAATCTGTGTCAACTGCAGGTGCTTCCGTATCATCAAAACTAGATAATTATTCATGTTCTTTTGAAAATTTAGGTTAGTGCTGATATGAGAGAGATGAGATCTACTGCCAGACATCTTTTAAAGCAGACAAATGCTATTTGTTGGCATTCAGTCTAATATGACCCAACTTTGTAGCAACGCTGCGGTGGAATTTTAGTCTGTTTTTATCAAGTATTTGTGTGTGAGGTTTGTAATTTTTGTTAACTTTCACTGAACACCACACTATGCCGATGCTTTCTATGCAGTACGGCAGATATTACAGGATCACAGATAGAGAATGTAACTGCTGTTCAAGCTAAAGCACAGAGTCAAAAATATTTCCCAGCTTCGGTATGAAAGCATTGGCAGCCATATTGTTTGTCTGAACTACATGTGTTCATCCCACCTGGGAAAACTGATAAAAACGCTGAGAGGTTCACTGGTTGGTGTTAAAGGGTTGAAATGGAAGAATAAATACCCGTTATCAAACATGACGGGATGATGACCGATGTTTTTTCCTGTCAGACAGAGAACCCCAGCATTTATACTTCACTTTGTGCTTGTAGTTCTGTAAATGCTTGCACTGTTTATCAACCCACATGATCATAGACCATATTGTCATTTAAAGGAATGTTACATGATGGAAGGACCCGATCTGATTCTCATTTAAGACTTTTTTTTATATTTACAGTTCCCTTTCCCTCAATCACCATGGACAAGTATCTTCACTTATAGAAGCTCCTTACTGTACGCTTCCCCTCAAGTACTGATTAGGGACCAGTTCCCAAAACTCTGGGCTGAATCTTTGTGGCTGTAACTCAATTACAAACCTGATTCCTGCACAGTTTTGAGGGGAAACGCAGCAAACTGAGGTTCTCTGAGTCACAGGAAGTGATGTATGGCATGTCACATGACGTGAGCGTGTTGTTTCTGACAGGAGGAAGGGCTCATGGAGAGATCTGTGTCAGTTACATGACAGCACATTGGGTGGCTCCACAGCAATCCTTAATGATGGCCACTCCTGACTTGGTGATGGATGGTTTGTTGGGAGGCGGCTCCAGGATTTGTCTCTTGGGCTTTGGCGGACCTGGTTGTGTAGAAAGAGGAAAAAGAAACGATCACACCGTGGAAGTGAACAACACTCCCGTCCCTCTCTCACTGTGTGTTTGTGTTTTGTTCTTTCTAACGTGGTCACTCACTTTGTGTGACCTTGAGCTTCTTCTCCAGAGGCATCAGCTTCAGTCTGAGGAACTCCGCCATCTCCTTGTCTTCCTCTCGCTCCCTGGGTTTAAGAGACGGTCACATAGTCAGCCATATGAATACAGTGCACCTGATCTATAGGACTAGCACGCTAGCACAACCTGCAGTTTGTGCCTCTTGAAAGACATTTTGACATGTCACAGTAGTAAAGAATACATTTAGCTGCTTGGTTTCAGGTTCCTGGTACTGTGCATGCTGACTCACTATCACGACTTACTTGGATATCTGAATAGAAGAAAGCCATTGTTAATGTTATTAGAAACACCTGTGCTATAAGATATATCCTTTGTGGTCTTTGGAAAACCCAGAATTATGTTCATATATGGATCAAAAATTATTCTTTCCAGTACACATTAAAAAGGCTTTCAACCCACTCCGAGTTGTAAAACTATATTTTTAATCCACAAAATGATGGTAACCAGAAGATCTCCATAATCATTTTTAACAACAAAATGACATGCAGTATAAAACTGTAAAATAATAAAAAGAAACATTTATATATATATAGGCAAATATACCTTCTAAGGAGTTATGTTATTTTATGTTATATTCATAATTTACGTCAGTCCGGCTGTCCACCATTAAATATCTCTTCTTCCAGATCCAGGTATCTACATTCTGCAAGATATGTAGATAATAAAATGTCTCGATACTGTTGGATGGACTGTCATCAAATTTTAGGATAAACTGTAATAACATAATATCTTATCTATAATCTTCCTCAGGTCAAAATTTAAGTGTCCAGTACTTTGGTTTATGACCAAATACTGTAGACGTGAAGACATTCCCATCAGCCTCAGTTGTTCTTTGCCAAATTAAGATGGTAAACATGGTTAACATTATACCTGCTATACATCATTGTGTTAGCTTTGTCATTGTGAGCATGTTGGACGTTAGCATTTTGCTCAAAGCACCACTGTGCCCAAGTACAGCATCTTTCAGAAAAACTGGTCCGACTTATCTCTGTGACTTGAGTGTAATAATATATGAGAAGCACAGCATAAAGCTACATTTGGCTTTGATGTTGCCATATCACAATGTTACACACTTTGCATCATAAAGAATAATTCTGATTAATCTGATTTGCTCGTCTAATGTTTTTAAAACCCAGCCTGAGATTTTACATCATTTAATATCAAAGTTATCTCTGTCACACTCTGTGGATTATCTGTGGGCACAGGGGAGGAATAAGTAGAAAATGACAATGCAGAGCCACGGTCATCAGTCAGCCTTCCTCCCACACACACACACACACACACACACACACACACACACAGAGCAAGCAGTGCTGTGATGATGGAGTGACCCTGTCCCCTGCCTTCAGTCATGCTCACAGTTGCTCCACACATTTACTCTAATGAGTCTCCTTCCCGCTGTCAACCATCCTATGTCTATCAAATGAAGAAATAAACAGTTCCACCCGACACCATCTGAGTAAGCAAACAAACAGTTGGCTCCTGCAGACGTGCTCATGGATATTAACTGCGCCTGTGTGTGGGAGCGCTCTACCTTAATCTCTCCACCTCAGCATCGTCAACCAGGAAATCCCTCTTCTGCACCAGCTTATGGATCTTCAGGATCAGCTCCTCTTCCCGCTGCCTGTGCTTCTTGGTTTTTTCTTTCTCTGGGGACAAAGGATGATGAATATGAAAGAAAGGCATAGTCATAAACAAATACATAAATTGATGGCTGTAGGGACAAGCAGACTGAACCGAAACCTTAATATTTTACTTCCTAAACATAAAACATAAATGCAGGCTCCGTACATTTAGTTACTTGCAACTGACTCCTAACAAACTGACCTTACAGCAAAGTCAGCTGGCTCTTAAACAGTGAGTCACATCACAAACAGACCCTTGATTCCCCCCTCATGTTTAATTTATAACAAATAAGGCACTGACTTAATTATGCAAATGCTAGAGAGCTCTGTTTTTTGTTTCATTTGGCCAAGGAATTTGCATTCACAGTCAGAGAGCCATGAACGCAACATCCTCTCTGCTTTGTCTCATGTTCCTAACCTTCACACTCTAAAGCACAGGAAGACACACACATAAAACATGCATACACACACACACACATGTGCACACACACACACACATGCAGGCAGCTGCAGAGGTAAGATGTCTGACACTGCTGGTATATAGGCTAGGTGGGGGAAATGGGTTTGAAAAACAACTGCAAACATCAGCTCTTTCTCCCATCCGGAAATAAAGTGGAGCAGTGCAGCTACAGTGTGTATCCCCCCGAGGGCACAACAATCAGAGGGGCACATCATGGCTACAATCCCAATGTCAGAGGAGCAGGAGAGGCAGCAGGGTCTGTTTGTCATGTGACTCATTCTGCTGGAGTGAAGTAGTGGGCTGCCAGGTCCCCCAACAACTCCACACATGAGGCCCTAGTGGCTCATGGAAATGTCAACAAGGGGCAGTTTTTGTGTGCAGTTTGTATGACCAGTAATCCCAAATGGGGGGGAGGGGGCTATACATATAGCCCAGTCCATTGAAGCTGAAGCCACCTTTGAGGACTATGAGGTCACATCCTCTGGACTATCACTAACCTGGGGGATGTATTTATTTTGCAAACATGTGGTGGATATTTTAAGGGCAGATTCCAGTCATTTTGAACTCATTACATTTAAATTTGACTACTTGTCGGCCAACAAAAGTGATTGAATAAAGGAATTTGTCTTGGTGCATAAAAACCACACAAAAGTACTTTAAATAAAGTACTAAAGTTTACATCCATGTTTACTTGCTAGCAAAATTCTTCTTCCCTGCTGTTTTTGGCACATTGCTGTATATCATGGCACATTACTGCCACATGCCATCAGTGGAATAATGTGAAACCATTGGCTGGACAGTAAATTACATTACTCACGTGCAGGTTCTGCGCACACATGTCAAACAATAAAGGGATCCACTCATAACTCACTCAATTGTGCAGCTGAACAACTGTGTATGCATTAAATATGATAATGATGCGCTATTGAATACACCTCTGAAAGAGCTGTTCACTTTATTATTTCCGTAACAACTTCTTATTGCCACTCAGCAAACGCTGCACAGGATCGATTTAAGGTGGGAATGTCTTTTCAACTTTCTTTTTTGGTATCTGGGGCAGGTGGGGTGCACTAGGGGGGAGTCACAACCTCAGTATTTTTTAAATTCTGACTACAACCCTAAATCAAAGCAACACCGCCACAAATTAGGACACCAGAAATGACCACAGAGGTGCAACAGCATTCATGTGTAAGCTTCACAACAGCAGTATTTACTGTTGTAGTTCTTCTTTGGTTTGTATGTTGCAGGGCTGCAAAGTGGTCAAAGAAACGCCCTGTGACTGACAGGTCACTGGTTCTTTTCCCTGGTAACAGCGGATGTCTTGTTGCTGTTCGAGTGACATTCTCGCTGCATTTCAGATACAGACAATGCTGGACTGTGGACTTAAACCAATATTTGACTCTGTACTCTGTCCCACAAACACACGGCAAAACCATCCAGGGAGTAAAAATGAGTGTTTACTGAACTTCATTTTGGACACCATGCCTGGAAAGCTTCCCTTCGCAGTGCTTTCACAGTGATGATGAATGTGTGTTTGTGCGTATGATTATCTCTCCCCCATAACTCCAACACATCCTGGAGACTTACGATCAATCCTGCGTAGTTTAGCGTAACGACACTTCTTATAAATCACTTCGACGCCTGCTGAGCTTATGGGACTCTGTCGGGCTGCAAACAGAAGCACTTTCTGCCAAGAGTCCAAACAGGGAGCGTGGACAGTTTTGCACACACAGGATCAATTCTGAGTAGTTTATATCCTGATATGCTTACAGCTGTTTTTCTTGATGTTGACAGAGGACAGAAAGAATATGTGTGTGTGTGTGTGTGTGTGTGTGTGTGTGTGTGTTTTGAACTGTACCTGGTACTGCGACAATCTGTCTCAGCTCCTGCTTTAAGCTCATGATGTCTTTGCAGAGCTGAATGTCATCCATCCTAGACAAACATGAGAAAGAAAACAGTAAATCACTGCCTTCCATCAGATTAAAGAAAAACAGATATTATTAGCTGCTTTCACTTCCACTCGAAATTATGTTAGGCAGAGTGAACCCTGGAAGAAAAGCATCATCTATAAAGTGCTTTAAAAGGAGCCTGTCCAATTGTATGTCTTTATGAAGTGCAAAATGTGTCATAAGATTCATTTCATTCATTCTAATATTACCTTAAATAAATTCACATTATACACTTGAGATGTAGCATTGCAACTAGGGCAGGAAAAAAGGTCATTTTAGGTCGTTATCTAGATTGGTCTATCTCACTGTCAGTATCTCTGGCCCTTGCAAACAAAATGATCCATGCATGTTGTTATGGAGAGGCAAGCAACATGTGCATATCAGAGAGGGCTGTGTTGTGTTTCCTTAATGGGGAACGATGGTCCTTAGTTTTTCCCTGTGATTGGATTTATTTGGATTTGAGGATGTTTTAAGATGATTTTACTCATTAGTTAGAGTCTATCTACCTATCTTCATAATTTAAAGGTCCAGTGTGAGGATCTGTTGGCAGTAATGGAATAATATTCAAAGGTAGGTTTTCATTAGTGTATAATCACCTGAAGTAAGTGTTTGTTACCTTAGAATGAGCCATTTTTTTCTACAGAGGGAGTGGGTCCTCTTCTACAGAGTTTGCCTTGTTTCTACAGTAGCCGGAACAGACAAACCAAACACTCTAGATAGGGCCTTTCCGAGTTTATTCAAATGGTTGCAATCAGCAATTTCACCGTTAGATGCCACTAAATCCTACACACTGGTCCTTGAAGAAAATGCATTTTATAACCGAGCAAAACTAAATTCTCCATACTTTGATGTCATCATAAAGTTTAAATGCAATTATTCTCATCAGAGGAGCGCTGCTTGTGTGAGCAAACCTGTCCTCTGTGGCAAGTTTAAGCAGCTGCCATCAGGAATGCATTATAGATTGCCCGTATGTAAAACAAATAGAAGGAAGTTTGGTTTTATTCCAGAATCCATTAGACTTAAAACAGTCACAATACAAGAAATAGTAAATTTACCTTGTGAATAGACTGACAGATGCACCTGCACTTTGACCTTATTTTAATCCTTGTGTATGTCTTCTAACATATCTCATAGTTGTATTTTTAGATGATTTTTTTATGTAAAGGGATTGTCTATGTTTACTGTTTGCACACTTGCTTGCCTTGAATTGCCCCTTGAGGGAGGAATAAAGTATTTTGAATGAACTGAAAATATTTAATCTTTTCAAATAATAATTGTTACTCTGAAACAGAAAATGTGCAAAACATCCCAATAGAAATCAGACAGACTAATAGCTCTGACACTGTGAGAGGCAGATAAAGAGATGTAGGACTGAAGGGGTTCATCTAATATGCCCACAACAATTTCCCAGAGCTCAAGGTGAGGTCTTCAAACTGTTTAATTTTTTCCCAAAACCATAGATAATCAATTTGCAACTAATATAAATCAGAGAAAAGCATCAAATCCTCCCATTTGCAAACCTAAAAAGGAAACTACATTTGGCCTCACTGAAACAATTAATCAATTATTAACTATTCAGTGTTGTGAATTAATTTCCTGTCGATTGAATAATTGATTAAATGACAAATCATTTTAGCTGTACTGTAAAATCCACTCTTGCACTTGTCATTTAGACATCACAGCCTCAGGCCCCGGTGTGTCAATCATCAGCAGATTGTGTGCAGATGGAAAACATGCACCATCAATCAATCAGCGCACTCTGGGCCTTGACGTTTTCCCCTCATCCTTCCTATATCCCCGCCTCCTCCTCTCTCTGCAGAGCAGTGACAGCTACCACAGAATTATTTCTCCCTGTGATAGATCAGGCCGATGACTCATCCATAGCCTCCTCCACCTCCTCCTCCTCCCTCCGCATTTATCTCTGTTGCTCCATTTTACACCTCCCATCTCTTTCTCTCTCCCCCTTGACCCCTCCCTTCAGCTTCTTTCTCTCTCTCTATGTTTTTCTCCCTCCTTCTGCCTTGTTTTTCACTCTCTCAATGTTATCTGTGGATTCCAGCAGCTTCTGCACTCTGACACTCCATCTGCTAGTGTGTGTGTGTGTGTGTGTGTGTGTGTGTGTGTGTGTGTTTATGAGCCATCTTGAGTCACACAGAGCCTGACAACAGAGACGTAAGCAATAAGCAGCACAGTGGCCTAATGAAGCCTTTCAAGTGGGCACGTGAACTAACATTATCAACCGAGTGAGCTCTCTATGGTGTGTATCAGCTTCATCCGACACCTCAGCCATCACAGTGCAGATGTTAGGGGTGTAATGACCCACAAAATACACTGTTCAGCTCTATATGTCAGTGCGGAGACAATTTATTACATTGTCGACACGGAAAATTAGACAGCGGCTTTTATTTGCATTTTCAATTGAGTTTTTATAAAGGTGCAATATTGGACACTTACATAATAATGTAATGTTTTCCTGGTTCATTTAGAGTGGTTAGGGTAACAAAAAACTAAATCACATTATATCACTAAAACAAGAAATCTTTTCAGCCCAACAACAAAACTGCACTGTTAAGCTACGCTGAAATTGTTTTATTCATTACATATACTGGGACTGTGCAACGTTATAAAAATAAAATATAAAATCCTCTATCACATTATTATTATATTATTATTATAATTTTCTATCACCATATCAATATAATATTATACAGTAAAATTTGAAAATTAAATGGAGAAACTGGACCGATAATATCCAATGTTGTGAGCTAATCCTGCAAAGGTATTTCATTTTACTGATGCAAAAAAATCCTCCTGCTCATTGATTTGCAACACTGGCTATAATGTTCTCATACAGCCAAAGATATTTAAGGGATATAAAATATATAAGCTGCTCCAATGTCAGAATTTGCTATTACTTGTCTTACACTGTAGCAAACTGAATATAATATTCTGCTGGCTGGTTCACAATACCCGACAAGCATCGAAGGACAGGATGTGAAGTTGTAGCTCTTGTTAAGTTCCTATTTGCTCATCTGCATATTCATTTATTCATCTGCACAGCTGGCGTGAACGAACACTTGAAACAGAGAAACACTGTTGAGACAGTTGGACATTTTATTATTGTAAGAGGGTGGTGATGATGAAAATAACTGTTAGTTGCAGCCCTAGTCTGTACTGAACAACACAATGAGACACCAGATTGCTACAGTATTAAACTCAGTGTTATTTTTCCGATCAATTCATCAACATCCATGTTGTCACACTACACACAAAATTACCATGATTAAGGCAGGAAGGGTACAGACAGAAAGGGAATAAATATAGTAAGTCATCCCAAACACTGATCCATAATCTTTGAAGCTAATGTTGATGAGGAGCCAATGAGTTCATCATGGTGACTCACTCAGCTGCTATTGGCATGTCCAGTCCTCTGCATAATCAATGGACAAATGGGCTGCCTCTCTCAGTATCAGACAGTCTTAAAAGAGCCAACGTGTATCTCAAGGAAACAACACTTGAATGTCTATGCGTAACAACAGAAGTGTCCACTGTGCCCTGGCAATGCAGAAAAACCTCATTATCCACTCAGGGACAGCAGTAGGAATGTTATGAAACTGTACTGATTAAATCTCTGTCATGTCTATCTCTTGGGGTTAGAAACACACAAATATTCAGCAACTCACATGAAGCGCAGCTCCGACTCCCGGCGTACCAGGACCTCTCGCAGGCGCTGGATACGAGCCATCTCCACCTCGATCTCCTCTGGAGCCATGGTGCTCTCGGCCATGGACACATCTGAATGACCTGGGGGATAAGTGGAGTTACAGTGAGGAAGAGGAATAAAAAAGACAGGAGGGAAACGGGAGACTTTAAAGGAGAAGAGGAGAAACATCTAACGTCCTTGTGCTTTTCTCCACAAGGAGAAACTGCTTCAGACATGTCTGTTACACACTTCTCTTCACCTTGGACTGTGCTCAGTTTGAAGCTGAAAAACTCACTACACATAACGACCGTTTCTAATTTGAGATGTTAATCGTGAATTTGTTTTCCCTAATCTCTGTCTTTTTATCCTTGAAAACTTTCCCGTAGCGTCAGCGTCTTGGCAAACACATCCATTTCTCACATTGTCTCCCTGTGACGTGTCACTTCGCAACATCCAAGAACATGATATTTCGAAAGAAAGCAGCATGTGTTATTGTGAGAGGTGGTTCGAACTTGACATGATGAAAAGCAGGGTATGCGCATGTACAATGAGCACTGTGAGATCTTTTCCAATGCAGAAGGTTGACGAGGTGTCTGTAAAGAAAACATACCTTCATACCGACATGGATCAATGAGCAGCTGTGGCTTCTGGCTGATTGGGTCACTCCTCCCTGAACTGGACCACTGACCTCACACTGTCCATATCTGCCTCTTAACGCTAACAGCACTGAACAAACACATACCGCACCAATCAATGCACTGACCACTGCAAATGCAACAGACTGATCTTTACTAGCTTTACCAGCACCTTACAACATGCGAGCAAACAGTATGGATCTTGATTTACAAATTATAGTCCAACAGTTTGAAGTGTGGAGCTGAGGACGTTGGTTGTGTATTAGCCTGCTGTCTCTCTACCAGTTTTCCCATCTGTCTCCATCACAAATCATTAAAGAAGCATTCTGACTTTTAACAGAAAACCTGTGTTACAAACTGGGGGTGTGGACTTTAAAACATGGGTTTGTTTCCCAGGCAAGTTGCATTATGGGAACTGTACAATCAAGGGTTTTTCATACTAGGGGCTAAAATTCAGGATATCAGTGCACCCTTTTAAAAAAGATCAAATGTAAGTAAAAAAAAACCTTTTTCAGGCCTGAATCATTAAAGGTGCAGTGTGTAACATTTAGGAGGATCTATTGGCAGAAATGGAATATTATATATAGGGATGCTCTTTCGTGTATAATCACCTGAATATAGGAATTGTTGTGTTTTTGTTACTTTAGAATGAGCCATTTTACAACAAACCAAACACTGGCTCTAGATTGGGCCATTTGTGTTTCACAGCCATCATAGTTTCTCCTTTGCACTTGGAAGGTGGGGTGAAGCGATGGAGTTGGCCGTATACAACTACACTGCTAGATGCCACTAAATCCTACACACTGGATCTTTAACAGTAACCTTCCACTTTTGTGCAGGAACATGAATATTTTACAGAGCCAGCAAAGGCATCATAGTCAGACTGGAAGCCAGCACAAACAAGCAGTTGACACTGATACCATTGTCTTGTAAAAATATTAGGACCACAAGTTACAATTATTTCTATTACTGATTGATATTCTAATTATCTTCTTAATCGGTTAATTGTTTGGTCCATATCAGAAAACAGTAACATTTTTCCAGAGAAGGTGATATCATCCAACAGTCCAAACCCCAAAGATGTCCAGTTTATAATCACAGAAGGATACACAATAAATTTAAATCTGAGAGGCTGAAAACAGAGATGTTTTGGCATTTATGCTTAAAAATGACAGGTTCACACGATCTTATTTATCCATTTGGGAACTCACTTGTCCATATGGACATTAAAAGACTTACTGGTATCTGTATTACTCCAGTTCACACCTATCCCCTCCTAACACCAATACACAGTAACAAGACAGAAGCCCAAGTCTACATCTACAAGCCGATAGGTCTGAATAAACAAACCATTTGCATCTTTAATCCTGAGCTGTCAAATGTGACGCATGACATTTATCCATAGTGTTTTGTGTGACATTAGAGGACTGGATCAACTCTTCATCCTCCTGCAGCAACATAAAACTGCAGTCTGCGTTCGTGGTACTTTTCATGGGTGCTTGCTGAGGACAGAGCTGACTCACCACAGCAGACAGAAGTCTGGACAGGAGGGCCCTGGTTTGTTTGTGCCTTCTCGATACTGAATCATCACCCAGCGTGTCTGCTGACAGAAGACGCTGACGCCAAAATCAAAGTTTATATCACGGAACTGCAGGACAACACGGGAGACAGCCTGAGCTGAAGTTTGATAAAAGTGTTCTTTCTTTATCTCCCTTCTTTCCTCTCTGTCTTGTTTTTCTTTGCACACTCCTCTCTCTCTCACTTGCGGCCACGTGCTTACCATCAATAAGACCATGCTGCATTAAGTCCAGACAGGAGGCAAAACGCCAGCTCAGTAATGTCTTAACAGCTCCATCTCATCTGAACAAGCTGCTCACACGTACACACACACACATACTCAGCATTAAAAACATTACAAGCACCGAACAGCATTGACAATCCCTAATTAAAAACAGCTTGCTCACAAGGGACAGGTGAGGTTAACTGGGAAGTTTCAGGCCAACACAAGCAAAACCGCTCCTCACATCAGCTGCAGATGTAAACCAGCCTCCTCTCACACATAATGAATCAGCTTGAATTACCGCTGTTTCATTAAAACAAACTGGCTCATCAGTGTACTTTGGGATTATGATTTAATGAGGAATAAACAGCCTGGTGAGCCTGGATTGTGCGTGGTGCAGCAGACACCTGGGGCTCACCAAACAGGGAAATGTCAGCATCTGTATTTGACATCCAATGCAGACACCCCTGACACATCCTGCAGTCACAATGCCACTGCTGCCTCTGGACCACACCCCCACCCCCCTCGGGAAAACACACACACACACACACACACACACACACACACACACACACACACACACACACACACACACAAAAACACACAAATCAAACAGATGTGAGCACAAAATATAAAAAATTCAAGATAACCACTGGCAGTATTTGTCTTTCTTTTTTTTTTAAATAAGAGGAGATAAACCTGGGGAGGTTGCTCTGCTTTACCTCTGCCTTGTTTTCTGTTATAAAGAGTTCGGTCTAGACCTGCTGTATTTGAAAAGTGTCCTGAGATAACTTCTGTTATGAATTGGCGCTATACAAATAAAATTGAATTGAATTGAATTGAATTGAATTTTCTAGCTGGATGTATGTGTGTTTGTGCTAGACAGGCAGAGAGAGAGAGAGAGAGAGAGACTATGGCTGGATCTGTGTCTAAAAATATCCACAGAATTTTTTTTTCTCCTTCTCTGACTTAATCTGGAAGTTTCTTCCCACCCTGCTCTCCTGTGATGAGTTATCCTCAGTGGAACCGACTAGGACACATCTTAAAGGACGTTATCACTGCTGCTTCCGTCAACACATGCGTCATCCATAGACCTTTATCACTTTAATATAGGACCAGATAACAGAAACATCCAATACAATGTCTCTGCAGCTAATAACGTTTATGTCAAAACTGAGTTTGTTTTTTGTTTTTTCAGCTTCATGGTAATTTTTGAGGCTGTACTTTGTGGTATTGTTTTGAGCTGACACAATCAGACATTAGTCGATAAGAAAATTGACAGAACATAAATTGTTGCCATGCATCAAATGCAGTCCTCAGAGAATTGTGTTGCTTTTCTCAGTCTTTAATCACTATTTATGGAAAATCTTTGGAGTTCAGACTGTGAATTGAAAAAATGCTATTTAAAGATGTTGCAATGGGCTCTGGGATACTGTAAAAGGTACTGCTTTTTTCATATTTTCTAACGTTTTGCAGACCATATGATTACCATAAACAGGACAAATAAAAAAGATGCAAATCAAAATAACACAGACATCTAATTCAGTAGCTCTTCAACTTAACATGTTCATATTCAGCTGAAACTGTGTTGGAAAGGTGTGTGTTCAGCGTTATTGTCACTTTTCTGTCTGTATCTGTGGTTTCGCTGTGTTGTGTCAATTGAAACTGTTATTATTGTGCTCACCCCTTGTGCAATAAATGGTGATCCTCAGACACAATACTTAAAAGTAAGGAATGTACTTATAGTGGCATTTTTTAGTCTTTCAAGCTGTTAACTTTCCCTCATTTTGCCAAAAAGCTCAAATCTTCTTCTTAAATGTGAGACCCAGAGCCCATTGACAGGAGCAGAGGACCGGGCTGTTGACTGTATGCTCTTGCTTCATCATCAGCTCGGACTGAATCAAGTTTCCAAATGCACTAGACTTTATGTATATTGCATTGCCCAAATTCATTCACAAACCGCATAATACCCATAGTGTGCATGTAGGGGAATGTATAGGCCTTTAAGCACCAAGGCAGCGCTACTGATACGTCCCAAACCTTTGTGACTCACCCATTTGCCGTTTCTACGCTAACCGCTCACTGGGCTTTTCCACAGAGTGAAACATTATCTGCAAACACTGTCACATAACTTGCTGTTTCCCACCACCAGGCGGTAAAACAACACCATATTTTGCTGCATGACGCTCACCTTTGTCCGTTGTCCATGCCGTTTCTGACACGGCGCCGTAGCTCCTGAGCGCGCGCTCGGTGTCCGAAATAGATTTCTTCAGTTCCATGTCGGTGGAGTGCCCGCGCGCAGAAACCAGGATACAGCGAGACTTTCGGGTAAATGTACACGTCTCCTCGGTGTGTGTGCGTCCAGATAACTCAGTTTCACCCGGTGACGAGGCTCCAGCGACCCGAGATGTTGAGCATCTTTATTGAAGCTTTTCAAGTCCCTCGACGTGTGGATGGAGGTGAGGATGTAGGGAGCATGCGCAGTGCGGGCAGGGATGTGAAGACTTGGGAGACACCCACTGGCACTGAGATGACGTTAAAAATAAAACAATAGGCGCACAGTTGCACTGGAGTCCTTACTGTCAGGCTGTCCAAGAATGTGTATTTCGTATATTTGCATATTTAAATGCCCCATGTGTGTATTATTAATAAAGAGATATGAACACTAGTGCAGGGTATTAGCTATTTCAGCATTGTGTCTCTGAAGTGTTAATTGTTATCTGGCTGCATAACTACCAAAGGTTAAGTGGCAGGTGTTTCCACATGAGGGGGTCTGGTTGCATATGGCAAAGTCTGTCTGAGCAGACGGTTCCAAATTTAGAAACAACTTCATTAACGGGTGCCTTAAGCTTCATTTCTTAAGTCTTAGCAGCAGGGAGAGATAGTCTGAGTAACTAAAACAGAGCGTGAAAACAGAACAGCAGAAAAAAATGGCATGCAGCAGCCAGTAGCTCTTTCAAAGTACATGCTGTGCTCAATATATTCCCAGAAGAGAGGGAGACAGAGCTGCAGTTGCATCTAAACGATGAGTAATACAGGGAAGTGAGTAATATTTCGGTCTGAACACAAGCCAAAACACACCCAGGATGCACCTTTGATGGCAAAATATTGGAGGTGCATGTGATATTTCAACTGTAAGCATAAGACGGAAACTGTGGGTCTGTTTTACAATGTTGGGACAAGTGTGTCACCGTCACCCGAGTTCAGTAATAACTGATTTCTTGTGTGTTGCTATAGCTGTTTGCTCAGTAAACACTCACACAGTGAATGAATAGAATGTGTTTTAATGTATTCAACAATAAATATTGTTTACCACAGTTAGTGCAACTAAAGTGCAAAATGTGATCAAATCATTGTTTCAATAAATTACAGTCAAAAGCACTGATTAATGGTGATGTGAAAATCAGCCAAGATATATTTGAGACATTTTAGACTGTGTTAAAGTAGCAAACCAACCTCTGAATGAGTCGGTAATATTACCCATTCTTCAGCTGCTGATATGAACAAAGGGATTATTCATTGGTTTGAGCTTCAGCATATCAATAATAAATAGAAATGAACACTCTAACACTACACTAACATTAAGTTATTATATATAAGAATACAAGTTAAAAGATGTCTGATAAAAGGGATCAAACAGCTGTAGTTATTACATTATTTTTCTGTACCGCAATTCCAACACTGTAGTATTATTAATATCTTATTCACAGTAGTATTAATTCAGTTATGTGACAGATCAAATAATATAATCACACAGCATCTCAAGCAAATTCTACTTCAAAGTGCAAACTAGGTTGAGACTCAACCATATTAGAAAACAAAAATAGATTTCAGTAATACATAGGAAAGTGAATTAAAAGGGTTTTTTTGAGAAGTGAGAAGTTTGTCCTGAACCGTATAAATTCTATATATGGGAATAACAGTCAGCTCTTGTACTGCTCTGAACTTTATAAATATTACCTCTGTAGAAATTGCTTGGCGGAGGCATCTGACATTACAAGAATCACTGCAGGCAAAGAAACATATAAACATTTTCGCTAAGAGGTCAAATAAAAAAAAACTAGAATAGCAAACTGTTTTAGGAAATGGTGCAAAGAGAGACAATAGAGAGCACTCCACAGTATCACATTAACATAGAGTACCACAACAGGCAGGCAGCATTTCCACATTCAAGTATATGGATGTTTGAGACAACCTTCATCAACCATTATTAGACAAAACTCAAAGTATTCTTCGGTAGTATATTTTTGGGATAATGGTTGAAAATGTGGAACTCATAAAGGTATTTTCAGATATGTTGTAGTGTTTTGTTGTTGTTGCTTTAAACAACTCACTGTTTGTGAACCTAAGCTGAATCTCATCTGTGCTCAGCTCATTATGGCCCTTATGTATAAAGTAGCTACCTACACATTAATAACAAACAAATATACTCTTGAATATAACAGGTTATAGGTACCTGTGTGCATCTGTATTTGGCACTTTCTGTACCAGAGTGTAAACTGGAACCAAAGCAGATAGTCCTTGGAGATCAGGCACTCTGTTGCAGCCACAGATAACAGTCTAAGCACTTGTAATAAAGACAAAAAAAGAGAGTGATATCTAAAAGTTTAGCAATTTGCCCAATTTTATGAAGTTAAAAGTCTGAGCTAATACGTTAGCTGCCACTCCACACTGTGGAAATAATTCTTTACCACTCTCATTGCAGTTTTTCATTTAAATGTAAAGCAGAGGACTCAAGTTTACACTCTCCTATCCTCACAGTTTCTGTCCCAGATATAGATGTCCTCGTAAATCATCCCCGTATCATTAAACATGTCCCAATCAAATAAGGGAACTGCATTTATAAAAACAAAACCTGATGAGAAACGCAGCATGGCGACAGTTCACTGTGGGCTGAATTACTGAATTACGTGCTGTATGAATACTGAAAAATATACTGTATATACATTCAGTACATTTGCTGGGTGCTGTTGCCTAAAGCACCTAACAGACTCATAAGGACTTCCATTTTAGTTTAGTGAGATTTTGAACTCAAACCATGGCAGTGATGGTGCAGCATCAATCACAGACAGGACTGCCGTCCCCTGAACCAGCTGTCTCCTGTTCAGAGCACAGCTTTGTCTGTTTTATCCCCCTCCATTACAACGGCCAGTTCTACATATTTCAGTTCTGAGTGGATTTAGATGCTACTGTTTCCTCTTTGGGAGCGTCCGTCTTCTCCTTAGAGTCTACGTTCTCCTTTGTAGATTCTGCTTCATCCTCTTTAGGAGGGAACATCCATGCCAGAGCAGCGCCGGCTGTGCCATCACCACTCTGACGTGAGAAGCAAAGGAAGGTGGCCCAGACGAAGGCACAGCAGCCGGTGAAGGTGGTCCGCACGTACAGAGGCACCAAGGCAAAGTTGAGAAACTAAGGGAAACATATCAAAATAAAGTATGTATATCATATATTATATATATATTGTATATTATTGCCATGTTTAAATATTAATAAATAATTCTGATTATTTAATAGAGTCTTTGATTGTGAGAGTCTAAAATACTAGGCTGATGGAATTTAAACTACATTATCTCTCTGACTTTATCTTATAATGTGTGTTTATATGATATTTTGGATATTAATATATTATTGTTATTATTATATTTTAAGGGTTGCTCCACAGGTCTGTCTTTCAAAATTAATCATGTTGCAGAACCACCAAGATTGGCTACTTTCAATACTATATCAGATATTAAAACAAATGCAAATGTGACAAACCTGAATATTTTAATAGAGAAGACAATCTTTACTCAAAGGGTTACTTAGTAACTCACACAGGTTTATCATGAGACTGTGAGATGTGACTGAAAGTTCAGAATCATTAGCAAGTGGACCTTTGAGCTTAGATTTAGATAGATCTATGCAAGGCAGATATGAATATTTACCTGCATAAATGGCCAGAACATCAGCCCCGTCTGAAAAGAGAGATAAACAGAAAGCACACAAATCATTCGTAGTCTTGCTGAACAAAATGTCCAGAAGAAAAGCTATGCTGACACAGCTGAAACGGATGTGGACTTCAACAGCGACTGAGAGCCATGTGACTTAGCAACACTCAGAGACCTCACACAAAATCAAGTAATACCTGACACATCTGAGAAGGCACTTACTGAAGAAATCGTGGCGTGAATGCTGTTGAAAAAACTCCATTAACACACACAACAAATGTAAAAACAGATAACTTAAAACTGCCATTGTGGAAAAAGTAGAAAAAGTGGAAGAAAGATATGAAAAAGTGGAATTTACACGAGAAAGTCCCAAGTGCCGTGAACGTTTAAAACTTTGAAAGGAGTTTCTATGTGAATGTATAAATCAATGGGAAGAGGTTAAGATGAGTGGGTTTGAAGAAAGTTGAATATTTTGACATTTTAATGGGATTTGATAGTTGAGTAACATGTATGAAAGTTGTGGAACATTTGAATGTGAGTTTCTACCTGAAATTATGAATGAGTAGATAAGAGTTGAAACGGCATTAAAAACTCTCCATCCATTATTTTAAATGAGCAAGATTTGCCAGAAAAGGCAGAATATTTCTGACAGTATAAATGAGAAAGGTAATAGCAATAATGTCTTAGTTGAGTTGAATAATCAGCTTGTAGTTTTTACATTAAAACATTTTGTGTTGTAAAAAAACAACATTCAGCATTCACGCCAATTGAAAGTTTGCACACACAGATCTATGGCTGTACATAACACATAAACTGTCAAAATACATGCACTTTGATTCAGGCACAACTTAACTGTCACAACATATCACAACTAACACAATTTCAGTGGCAAGAACATGCTTGTGACAGCCTGTCTCTGCTCCCACTCACCTTATATGTATTCAGGAATTTTTCTCTCCAGTCTGCTGTGATGTCCTCTTTGCCCTCCAAGAAGCTGACACCTGGGTGACAAGACAAATTCATCCTTTGATTGTCAGCTGGAAGATGATTTGACTGATGGTAGGTACTTTTAAGAAACCATAAACACAGTACACAGTATATATATATATATATGCATGTCTTATAGGAGTATGGGAAAAAATCACAATGGCAGGGTTATTAATACAGTGGTATAAATATTGCAACACATCCTCTTGCAGACATTATCAGTACAATGACAGCATGTATATTGCTTCGATTGAGCATTGGGATTATGGGGTTTAAACAGCCTATTTTAATGTAGTTTAGTTTTTTTCTCTTTGCTTTGTTAGCATCAGATTTTCAGATTTGAGTTACTACTATAATGCTGATGATGTGTTTTTTGCCAGCTCATCCACATACCAGTTTCTACCTACCAGTACTAACTACTACTACTGTTTCCTGTGTTAGATAATAGGAATATTACAGGGAGCGTTCAACTGTTATTGTCATAAACTGTCATGTGTAATACCAATCCTTCAGGCTTATGTCTTTCATTTGACCTTTACTAGTCAAGGTTTGTTTCACAGGACAATGGACAACTGCTGATATTTACACTACAAGAAACGCGCCCAGAGAGAACTTGGGTCAAGTTACAAATTGACAGATATCTGATCTGTTTTGACGTTAACCATTAACTTCCCGGAAGGCTGCGTGTGTGTCCCGGGGAGGCTGTGGCTGCTGCCCCCCACCCTTCCGTCCCACTGCCCACCGACCTGTGTAGAAGACACTGGTAGCCAGGGGTGCCGCTGTAGTCTGGTCTAGGAGCAGCTTCCTCATCACCATCCCGACGGAATTCCCGGGAAACCTCCGCTCCAGGAACCGCATCCAGAAGAAATTGAAGTTACCATGGAAACTGAACGCGATCACAGCAACGTTCCGTGTGTGGCTCCAGTCCATCTTCTCCCTCCGGGAAAACCACTGGTGGACGAAGTCCCCTCCAGCGAACAGACAGCCGTACAGTGTAACGTTGGTGACCCACGGAAACCGACGGACATGTCTCAAAAACGCCGTTCGCATTATTTTAACCGTTGTTGTCGCCCAGTGGAATTAAATATGGTGTTAACAAAATGTAACGTTAAATACTTAACGTTAAATACTTAACGTTAACAGCAGCTTTATGTGTAACTTAACGTTAGCTAGCTTAATATGACACATTAACGTACACAAGCGGCATCACAGATACTGTAACGTTATATTTCCGACGAGTTTTCGATAGAAAACGCTCATAAGGCGTATCGACGACAAATTGTAAATGTTTCTGGTATAATAAAAGTCATAAAGTCACATAATATCAGGTGGGATACTTGCTTGTCGTACACCATCCGACCACCGGCTCGGGACTGTCAGTCAGACTGCCACCGGCCGGGTCTCGTCATTTTGCGTAAAATTACTACGCCCCTTTTTACGTAAAAAAAAAAAAAAAAATCACAGAAAGATACAGTTGAAGGGCGGAGCAAAACTGAAGACCTTGAGCCAATAGTTTGGTACCATAAGGTACAGTAGCTCAACCTCACACAGTACCTGGAGCTGTCTGAACAATATGTCCGTTATACCTGAATTGATTTGGTTTTTGCTGTAATAAATAGTATCACAAGAGAGGTGGCTGTAACATAGCAGTGTCCTCTAGCTGTCAGCTTATGAGGGATATGGATATGTTGTGTTCTATGTTCATTTCTTTACATAAACAAACCATCCAAGGATCCCTTACGTTTCTTTGTAAATAATTGTGTAACTATGTTATGTTTCCTAAATTATGTCAGACATAACTTTGACATTTATGTTAATTGTGTCTTATTTATTGTCAGCTGCACCTTTATATATGATGTATATGCTTATATCAATATATTAGCATAGCCAATTTACTGGTTGGGTGTTCATGGGTAATGTGATATATAGTAATACCCACAACTGACACAAATGAGAATGTTCATCTCCATTCAGTCTGAACACTCAATATAGACATAAGCATTTCACACAAGATTTGACAATTTACATTTATTTAGCAACAGGTACAGTATGTTAGAGTAAAAAGTTGCAGCAATGCTTTAAGCACCTTGCAACTTCCTGAATAACACAACTGATGAAAAGGCCTTATACAGTATGATGTTGGTTTCATTTTTAAGTTTGAAAAAAGACTAAACTAGACAAAACATCCCTTGCATAAGATTACTATACACATTTACACATGCACTTTCCTAAAACGTACACATTCATAGCCAACTATACAGCAGTATGTAGAGTATGTGATGAAATATCATATTCCACTCTCATCGTGAAGGTGCTTTTCTTTGAGAAAAATAAACTTACTGCGCGACTCTTCAACAATGCAGAGCTCAGCAAATAAAATTCTCTTTACTGTTTTTAAACAAGGTGCCAAAATAAATATATTCTTTTTTGCTATTGCAGCAAGTTCCCCTCCTCTAATTATTCCTTAACAGTAGGTCAGGCATTTAAGAACCATACATGTGGTTTTACATGTTTTAGCCCATTAACTACATATTGTGCATTTTTCAAAGCATACCAAGTTTTAAGATTGATTCACACCTCTCGGAAAAGTATTGGTTTTCAGAACTTTCTGGAGATAGGCAAGAATTGATTTAATGGGGACAATGTAACATAAAACACTGACAATAATATAAAGGCAATTATATTAAGCTTCAATTCTGCAAATTGATTGGCTGTACTAGTTTAAACTGCACAATGAACGTATGCAACGTAGGTAGGAAATGGATAAAAAAAATTGTTGCAGGTTTTGGGCTAAAAAAAAAACCATACAAAATGAGAAGTATGTTTTTTAACTGGTCAGAAGACAGCAATGTTAACTATTTCAAAATAGCCAAGCATAGTAGCACATTAACCTTGACTGACAGCAACACAACAGAGGGTGTAAGGTGCAGACTTTACATCACCTCACAAGAGTGGAAAAATGAACTGTAACAGGCATGAACAGAATCACCTGCACTTCCTCTACTCTCTCTACTGGACCAGCCAGATGAATCAGGAGAGCTATTCAACATATGCATGGTCAAGTTGGGGGTTACCTCCAAATTAAGACACAATGAACAATAACAGACAGTGGGTGGATGGGTCACAGTGTATCCACTGAGCTGAGAGGCAAAAACAGTCAGGTTCCATGTTAAGGTTGAGTGAAAGATGGGAGTAGTGCTCTATGACTAGACAACCCTCTCCCAGTCCCCCGTCTCAGTCCTGTGGTAGAGCTGTGGCTGACCCCCGGGGAACAGGCTATCAGAGTCGGGGTGTTTTAAAAGGAACTGGATGGTGGACTTCATGTGCTGGACGAAGTGTGGCGGCTCAGCCATCGGAGAGGTGGACAGGTACTGGGCATGAGAGAGAAATACCAGAGTCAAAGTCTGTATTATGACACTTTCTGAACTTCTATGTCACTGGGAGTAGAAAAGATATTCAGACATAACAGAGGCCTTGAGTGACGCAAGGAAAGTAGTATAATAACATATAGTATAACAAAGGAAACAGGAAATCATCTTTATTGGATGACTAATTACTTCCACATTTCTTTACCTTTAAAATTGTGTCATCATTTTGCGCCAACCAGAAGGCAATATCTAGATTTGGAGACCAATTGCAAGGGCCGATTTTAACAAGTCCTCGACTTGAGTCATATATGTCAGCCATCTGCAACACAACAAAACATTCATTTTATTAATAATCTTTGCATTGAGTTTGTTTCTCAACAATGAGATCGTGGCCTGTTGGTTTTACTAAATAAATAGCAAAACAGTTACCACATTACCAATTTTAAGGAAAAGAGTACATCAGTATATTTTATTTGTTTATGATTATAATCCCATAAAAAATACTTAAAACATGAGGTTATCAGTTTTTAGCATGATATATTTAGAGAGAGACTTAAAATCATGTTTTTTTACTCACAAAAATGGCCAGTATCCAAATGTAGAAAACAACATTTTAGATTTTACCTGTCCTCCGGTGAAGGTCCTCGCAGATCGCAGCTCTTCTGCAGGTCCTTTATGAGTGAATGACGAAGGGAACACGTCCCCTGTTTTAACATTTACACCTGTGCAGAAACAGCCATACACATAGTCTATTAGAGATCACGTGCCATGAGAGCATTGCCTCCCTCTCACTCTGTAGCATATTCATCACTTACCTATTCCATATACTACAGGCCTATGAATTCCATCAACAACGATGTCATTGATTTCTACAAAAACAGAGAACAGAAGGGTTACTTATGACATAATAGTAACTTATGATAAAGGCTTGACTGGTATATTAAGTCTAAACAATAGTAAACAAGTCAAAACCAAAATGTTACCTGTGATGCAGCATGTCTCCAGATGAATATCCTCTTTCTGTTTCTGGAACGCTGCTGTAAAGTGAATATGGTCTGTAAGTTTTACAAAGCTCTAATGCCACCCACTTCATATGGGAAATTAGGTAATTTTAAAAGACTATACCCAATATGTTAAGGCTGAGTTTATGGGATGTTTTTGACTCATCGTTAAATCCCCCAACAAGATGGAGCTCAAGTCTGCATAATGGAAAGCAAAAGAAAGGAAATAAAGAACATCTGAAGAGGATGTGCACTTTCGTTATGTGTCTTTGTTTATTTCGTACCTGCCCTCCTTACTGACGTTACTCAGTGAGGTGACAGCTTTCACAAGGAGGGGGACTTCAGACCAGGTGCTGGAACCATCACAGTGAGCAAGGCAAACGGCTCCACTTCCTAATAAAATTCAGTCATGGCAGACATCAAAAATGCCATTCCTGACTATATACACAGGCAGAATAAGGCACACAGCATAAATCTAATGGAAGAAACGTTACCAGTGTGTCGCAACACAACCAAATGACAGGTGGTGGCATCATCAGATCCAATTACTGAAACACAATCTGTGATAGGTAAGACAGAAAAGCATTCGTTATCACTATGATCCAGATTGGACAACTTGGAGTACTATCTGGGAGTAAGTTACACCAAACAGTTCAGTTTGGTATAAGATCTCTGTATTATGTACTCAATGAGAAAAGAGGGATCGATATTCAGATACTCCCAGTGCAATAATCAGGCTTTACTCACTGTCTGCTGGTGTTGTTGCAGCAAACTCTCTTTGTTGGACATACAAGAGGCACTTTGGGTCCACGTCAACAAGTGGCTTGGAGCGAAATGTTCTTCCATGTTCCTGTGACATAAGAATAAAAGACGTATTACTTAAAAACGTCAAATTGAAACTGTAGGTTCTGTGTACTTGTCACATTTAAACCAAAACACAATCAGGCTATGATATTCATTAATAATGATTCATTGTTGTTAATATAGACTGTAAACCCTCGTCTGGGTCTTATTGGTGTTATTATTATTTGACTACACATTTATTTTGATAGTTGTCATAGAGAAGGAAAATGTAACCCTTATCTTTCCGCTGATGAACGACATAAATCAATAAACACCCCTTACATGTCAAAATTATAATTTTCCACAAGAAGACCAGACCTCAAAAGTTTTAAACGTTTGTCAATTACGGGAGCTATCACGTGCGTTTCCTTCCCATTTCTTCCTGATTTTATTTTATCCATTTATTATTATTATTATTATTATTATTATTTTTAATTGTACACATGGAGGAAACTTAACATTTAGTTACACTTCTTTGAAAACTAATAATCATGTGACAGTCGACTGAATCATATGACTGACTTCCGTCTGCCACCATGTCGCCATCAGTCCCACAATGTGACGCTGATGACCGTCACACTTTAGGATGAAGTGCCTCTCAGTCATTGGGAGATTACTTTTAGAAAAGTACCGCTAACTACTGACGGCAGCTAGCGCAGTGAGCTACATGTAGCCCCACTTTCTGTAAACAAACCTGTAAATGTGGATATGTGTCGAACAATTCCGCTGTCGAGTTTATGCGCCCAAGTCCTCTATTTTGAATTAACAAAGGCATATCCGAGTTCCACCGTTCAACTGGTTACCATACTATTATAAAGACCAGCAACTTCATACTCTTATTATCTTATTGTACACATATCGCAGGAAACGAGCGAGTCCCGGTTCTCTGGCAATCTGCTCTGACTTCCTGGAAGACTTTCTTCTTCTACTGTTGCTACGAAAAACGGGGCTCGCGGTTTCTGACACATCGCCACCAACTGTTAAAAAGCACGAACGCGTACACAAATCGAATTCACCATCGTCACATAGCGAACATTCGTACGTAGCATCCGTTCTATCTAACCGACGCTACGTAGAATTACTAGTTGGAGATACGTCGCTAAAGAGGGCAGGGAGGGACGGTGCGACGCGGTGACCGTTTAGCTACGTGACGCACACAACATTTGTTTACTAAAATCCTTATTTAAGCGTACTTTTAACATACATATAGTTTTTTAATCGTAAATCGCGGATATTGTGTTACTTTGCACGTTATAACTGCGCACGACGTAAACAAACCGGTGTCAAACGTTATAAACACTGCGGAGACGATAGTAACGTTGTAAGTTAGTTTGTTTCTTCGCCAAAATGAGAGGGGGTTCCTCCTACGGTGACAGAGACAGGGACCGTGGACGAGACAGGTCAGTTCATACATTGGAACAACACATAACGTTACTTATTTACCACAGCAGTTGCATAATGTGTAGACATTACAGCTAGTTTGACCCAAAGCCATATGGTTGTTTTCAGTTCCCTCTGCAGTGTGCAGATAAGTGCCACAGGAACAAAAACTAACAAACAAACCTCCCCAAGGCCTCTCTTCAGGTTGTTGGTGCTTTCACTGTAGAGTTTGTACTAAGTTATATATCACAGAGTATTTATACAAGTGTAACATTAGCCCTGACCTTAAGGTGGCGCCAGGGTAAAGGTTGTGTTATAGACTGGAGTGCAAACATTTACTGGGCAGGACTTACAATATGTTGTCCTGATGGTGGCGCTAAAGGTGAGGTCACAGAGTCACCAATATTACTGTATTTGTGTGTGAAAATGTCGCAGTAACATGTTATAGCCGCACCAGTCAGTTATCTGAGTCTGCAGACTGAGCTGAGCATTATCTCTGGTATGTTGTCATCATTGCAATTGGTTGATTGTACACACACTAAGTGCACATTATAATATTAAATTGCAAATTGGTAGGTCTAGGTGTATGTGTGCAGTACAAAACTACTTTTATATAGTAAAATATAAGAACAGATAGATAAATGTCTGCAAGTAAATATAGGACAGTTAGGCTTGGTAAATTGTGTATAACTTAATAACACTTTATAACAGCTGCAGACTCATAGAGAGCTCTAATAAAGCAATCCACATACATAACGTTGTGCTCTTAACTTAAATTAATAATAATTCTGCAAGTAAAATGAAGTCTAGGCACATGGATTCAGCCGTAAAAACACTGGTCACAGATAAACCTACAAGACAGAGAGAAATGATTATCACATGACCTCTTTGGTGAAGCTAGCCCCTGCGGTGTTGTTACAGTAATGCTGCAGCCAGCCTTGCTGATTCCCCTGTGCTCATTGTGTCTGGACCCTAATCTTTCAGGCCACGGTTTGGGGCCATGGGCGGACGCAGTGGACCCCCACCAATGAAGTTTGGGAATCCCGGTGAGCGCCTCCGCAAGAAGAGGTGGAACCTGGATGAGCTGTCAAAATTCGAGAAGAACTTCTACACTGAACACCCTGAGGTCCAACGCCTTAATCAGGTAAACCTTTGTTGTTCTCTCTCTTCCTGACACTCACAAACAATATTGATACACAAGGCAACAAACATTTAAATCCATAAATGATGAAAACATACAGCCATGCCTCATAATCATATTTCTTTAAGTCAGAGTAATTTCAGCAGAAGGTAATCTAGAAAATGTGAATTTACACACCACTTCACCAAATATATGTTTCCTCTTTTTTCTCTTGTTGGCTGTTGTATCCAGTATGAAGTGGAAGAGTTTCGCAGGAAGAAGGAGATCACCATCAGAGGCTCTGGCTGTTCAAAGGCGATCACCGGCTTTCACCAGGCACAGTTTCCTCGTTAGTAAACCTTACATTGCTTAACCTAAGACGTTTGCACAAACAATCTCTGGGAAACATTAGCATATACAATAAATAATTCATTCACTAGCTTCAGCATCTAGGGATTTCAAAATATCCTTTTTGTTTTGAATCCCCTTGCTTTTTTTAATTTAGGCAAAACTATACAGCTGTTAGTGAAATGTGTTTTACGAGGACAACTGATATGTTTACAAGAAGGAAATATTTTCAGGGCTTGTCCTTCTGATGGAAAGACTCAAAGATAGAAAACCAAAGCAACAGTCCAGCAGTGTAACTGTCTAGATGATTGTCTCCCTCTTTCTTCGGGCAGAGTATGTGATGGATGTGCTGATGCAGCAGAACTTCAAGGAGCCGACAGCGATCCAGTCTCAGGGCTTTCCTGTGGCCCTGAGTGGCAGGGACATGGTGGGGATTGCACAGACTGGCTCCGGAAAGACACTGGCTGTAAGACTGCCTGATGATGATCACACACTAGTTGACGTTCAATTGGCAAAGTTTACATAGCACGTTTCACAGGATACAAATTGCTGGCAAATAGTATGATAACAAATGGATATCTGGAACAGCATTATAACTGCACAGGGGCAAAGTTAGATAATTTAAGAGAGTCTAACTAATGTGTTTTTTAAAGGGATTCATAGGAGAAAGAATGATACGATAGTAGGACAAGTATTTAGTTGTCTTTTGTTTTTTTTGTTCCCTGCAGTATCTTCTTCCTGCTATTGTACACATCAACCACCAGCCATATCTGGAGAGAGGAGATGGCCCAATTGTAAGTGCAAATTCCATATTTGTTATTATGTTAGAACCTTAATAGTATGATAGTACCTTAGTAGTATGATTTAGGAATGCTGGCTGTGATTTAGGGCACAGCTAATGGGATTCTAACAAATAAAATAAACAAATTAATAGTGTTTGTATAAACTTCCTCATTCCTCTTCATCCTCTCTTCACAGTGTCTGGTGCTCGCCCCAACCAGAGAGTTGGCTCAGCAGGTTCAACAGGTCGCATATGAGTATGGGAAATCTTCACGTATCAAAAGCACTTGTGTCTATGGTGGAGCACCCAAAGGACCACAGATTCGAGACCTTGAGCGGGGTGGGTATGGTTGTAGACTGGCACATGCAATGGATTATTCAGAATAGTTTGAAAATCAAAACCTTTTTTACAAAAAATCCTCTCCAGGATAGACTTTCTGAATACGTTCCTGGCTTCCAAGAGGTGGGGAACTAAATTGACTTTGATAACTGAACAGCAAAATGTAGCACAGGGTTTGAATTTAATCAACATATTTAATTCATGGAAAAACACAAATGAACTATATACACACAATCAGACACACACACACACACACACACAAACACACACACACACACAAACATACAACACACACACACACACACACAAACACACACACATACACTCACATGACAGATGTGCGACTTACACAGCTGCTTCCTGGTATTTTAGCCCACACTGCATTTCTCTGTGAGGTGTGAGAGTATGGTCAGTAAATGTAAAAGGCATAGTGTTTTATGAATAACAACCTGAACACAGCTATTGGGAAAATGTTCTGCCCAAGCATCTAATAATGTGTCTTTTGTATCTTTTTTGTTGTTGTTGATTTGGTATGACTCTAGGTGTTGAGATCTGCATTGCCACACCTGGCCGCCTCATTGACTTCTTGGAGAGTGGGAAAACAAACTTGCGGCGCTGCACCTACCTAGTGCTGGATGAGGCTGACCGCATGCTGGACATGGGCTTTGAGCCACAGATTCGCAAGATAGTTGAACAAATCAGGGTGTGACAAAGGCTCCGTTAATGACTGCTGTTTTAAAATGATCACTGTGACTTAATGTACAAGTATCTTTCAGTAAAATCAGTTGCATTCTTTCTCTCTCTGTCTCTCTCAGCCTGACAGACAGACTCTAATGTGGAGTGCAACCTGGCCAAAGGATGTTCGGCAGCTCGCCGAGGACTTCCTGAAGGACTACGTCCAGATTAATGTTGGTGCTCTGGAGCTCAGTGCCAACCACAACATCCTGCAGATTGTCGATGTCTGCATGGAGACTGAAAAGGACAACAAGTAAGGAAAGCCAGTGAGAGGAAATCTGACCTAAAATGATATTATGTCATGGTTATCTAATTAACTGCTAACATAGTGTTACAGAACTTTAGCTCATCCTTTCACACAGTTGATGTGCTATGATCGCCTCTCCCTGTCTGCAGACTTTTTCAGCTGATGGAGGAGATAATGGCTGAAAAAGAGAACAAAACCATCATCTTTGTGGAGACTAAGAAGCGTTGTGATGATCTTACCAGGAGGATGAGGCGCGACGGGTGAGGAATTACAGTCTGTTATGACACAACATTTTGACAGTATTTCTAGGATGAATTATGCAAATTATTAATAGACAGAAGCTATTCAGAGTGTTCTGAAATCCTGCCACTTCATTGTGTTTCTTTTCTAGGTGGCCAGCCATGTGTATCCATGGAGATAAGAGCCAGCCAGAAAGAGACTGGGTTCTCACAGGTAAGAATACTTGTAATACAGTGCTACCACTTCCCTCCTGTCATTTGTTGTAGATAATTTACTTCCATAAACTGGTGTTTATCAGGCACTCTGAGGGGCAGGACATTATAAGAAAAACATTTCCCTTCTAAGCATTAGTTTTAAAGTTCCTCATCTACTATCACATGCGTTGAGGTTGAATGGAGATAATGATTTCCATCCTGCTCTTCAGTTTTTTTTTCTATATCTGTTTCTGATAATAACCATACTAATATTTTGTTTAATCCTACAGAATTTCGGAGTGGTAAAGCTCCTATACTGATTGCTACCGATGTGGCCTCTCGTGGTCTGGGTATGTCTGCTCACACATACAGTTAATGCTACATAGTATCTCACATGATTGTCTCTTTTCTCATTATTTCTGCATTGTCCTGCAAATTGTATCTTTTCCTCTAAATAATATTAAGCCTATTAAATACTTACAAATAAACAGTAATATCTATTTGCAAAGTCATCTTGACTGGTAGGTAAGTATACTGCAGATGAGACCAGCTATATCTGGCAAAGTCGAGCAATGAAATTGGGTTAATAAAATGCAATTCTAGCACAAGTGTAGAATTGTTTTCTTTTGACTATTTTCCGGTTGATATTTTGACAGTTTTTCCCCTTTTCCATAATAGATGCCACACTAGGATTTTTTCATAATGCAGATTCAAAAATAAGTACAATATGTAGTATTGCTGTCAACTAGAAGTGTGAAAATAACAAAGAAGGTTTAACCTTTTTGAATGTAGTGATGTACAATAAAACAATTCAGCACATTATGTTTAAGGATTGCCCTTACTATTATAAGCTGACAGTTTAATGAGCTGTTAAGTGCAGAATGGAGGCTTCAGGCCTTCTGGTCTTCTGGGTTCATAGTCTGTTTCTTGTTACTGCAGTTAAAAAAGCTTCCTTCATCCGGGGCTCTTTGGCACGCTGCTGCCTGAAAGGAGGGGTCTGTGGGGCAGATGCTCCTGTGCACCCTTTCTCCTTTATGCTGTCAGTGCAAATTCCACCCGTTCTTCCACATAGAGGATAATACATTGTGTAGTTGTTCCATTGATATAATTCTGCAAAATGATACGTTATGTTTTGCAGATGCATTTGAGTAGGACAGTGACAGCTGAGCTGAATTATCTCCGATCCACCAACAGGAAGGCTAGGATGGCTAATTTGATATCTATGCTATATTTGTTGGCAGGATAAATGTGAGAAGGGGGGATAAGTGAAGTGAAGTGTCTTTAACTTGCCAAAATTCCTATGACCGTATCCTTGTTCTTTTTTCCCCTCTTCTCCTCTCAGGGTTTGTCAGCACACGGCAGCTGTAACAGTCTGCGCTGCTGTCACTGCCCCCTTCGTCACGTTAAAGTAGAAGCTCGGCTAGTTTTAGAGGGATTAAAGCCCCTCTTTTCCTTCTTGAGTTACTAAGATCCCCCTGCCCAGTTTTGTCAGAGTTTGTAAATCCAACGAGCCTTCCTTGGGAGCAGCCTGAGGTGCCTGTATGTCTGCCCATCGGTCCGTCCCAAAAAAGCAGACAGACAGGGGAGAGAGTGTTAGACGGGCTCGTCTGGATCCAGTCCTGGCCAGGGTCTGAGGAGGGCCTGCAATGCAGCGAGAGCACAACAGAACCAGCCGTTGTGTGCATGTCTCTTGAGGTTTAACGGTTCTGCTCCCGTCTGGCGTTGCTGGTGTGTGGAGAAGGGTGAGGAATGACTCCTGTCTCCCTCCCCCTCAGCCCCTCCCTATAAACCAGGACTGATCAAGGGGGGACTACCTTTGTAAAAACAACATAAAGGGGGTAAGTACCTCAACACCCCTTTCTCTTAACTCCTCCATGAGCTCACCATACATTCTGGTATCTCCATCGTGCTCATATATTTTAGTCAAAAGTCCCGGCACATCGTCATTCTGTTACTCAGTGGGTTATGGCTTTCCTCTGTCATGATGGAGGGGGAAATGTAGACTTATTGATCAGCAGTGCTGTCAGAGCCCCACATCTTCTGTAATAAGAAACAGACTCCTTGTCTTCACACATTCTGACCATTAATCACATTGGTGTGAAGACTATGAAGCCTAAACATGTTTGTGTCCACCTCGATGACATGCTCACTATGTGTCAAGTGAGCGTGAAAACCTGAAGTCAAGTTCAGTTTTAACTGTATTTGATTTAAATGAGTTCAAATGGTGAAAAACTTAAATGAATCTTTGGATTAATGGATTTTTACACGATGTCTGATAAAGCAGGTAAGTCACTCTATTTGTTTGGATTTTTTTATTTCTCACCTAAACTATTATTAATAATATCTCATTTAATTTACATTTAATTAATCATATATTTATATTTATTTATTTAAATACAAACCAACAGCTCTTGAAGATGAATTAAAGTGATCAATTCTTTCACCAGAAGCTTTTTCCCCTCTTGAGATGATGATGTGGTTCTTTTCCCCATGCTGTAAAATATCTGTACCCAAAAGACGTGGAAGATGTCAAGTTCGTCATCAACTATGACTATCCCAGCTCCTCTGAGGATTACGTCCACCGTATTGGACGTACGGCCCGCAGTACCAACAAGGGCACTGCCTACACCTTCTTCACCCCAGGGAACTTGCGGCAGGCCCGAGACCTTGTCCGGGTGTTGGCGGAGGCCCGGCAGGCCATCAACCCTAAACTGCTTCAGCTGGTAGACTCAGGGCGTGGTGGAGGAGGAGGGGGTAAGAAGGACTGTCACAGTTTTTCAGCTTAATACATCACAGTCAATCATACGGTCAAATAGAAAACTTTGGTAGTTTTGAGGCCATTCTGTAGTGATAAACAGTTTAAATATGATACTGGTTTTAAAGTTGTTGTTTGTTATAGGTGGCAGAATGCGTTACCGTGACAGCAGCTCCAACAACCCTAACCTCATGTACCAGGAGGAGTGTGATCGGCGCATGCGCCCTGGTGGCGGCGGCAGCAAAGACAGCCGCAGCGGTTTCAGCCGTGACAGCCGCACCAGCCGAGATGGAGACCGCTCCACTTCCTCCACCTCTTCCTCCTACAGGGACAGAAGCCGGGAGGCCAGGAATAGCTACAACTCGGGCTCAGATCAGTACCAGAGTTATGGCGGCAGCGGGGGCTACAACTCCCGCAGTGGAGGCCAGTCCGGTGGAGGTCAGGATCATCCTAGCCAGCCTCAGGGTCAGTTTGGCCAGCCTCCTGCTCCTCCTCCTCCGTCATCAGGGGTGCCACAGCCACTGATGGCTCAGCAGTTTGCACCACCACAGCCCCCGCTCATGGGCTTTATGGGGCAACCGCCTTACCCGTTTACTTCTCCACCCCCTCCTCCTCCAGGCCCTCCACCTCCCCGGAAGTAGAACTATGAAGAAGCAGCAGAAGGTTAATTTGCGCTACTTGGTGTGTTCACAGTGTAACTTTATTTTTACTCTCAATTTCTTGTTATCAACAAGAGGCGAGGGTTTGAAAAGGCATTATCTAAGGAGGTAAGGGCTTATATTTTCGTTTTGTACCTTTAATACACACCACATGTGTGGGATGTACATTTTCCTAGAGAAAAGGAAGTTTCTCTCAACCATGTACCCTGGAGGAACAAGTTTCTTTTGTTGTCATTTCAATGAAACACTATAGCAGATTCCTCCAGTTTGTTTTCCCTCTCAAATTTAAGCTGTTGTTCACTGGCTGTATTAGGATGTGGTTAGTATGAAAACTAGGTTGCAGTAAGGGCTCAGTGCCATCACATTCCAGAGTCATGTCATTGCTTTATTAAATTTCAAAATCTTTGACTTATATTGTTTGAGGGAGAATTATGTTTTGACTAGCAGTATATTTTCTTTCTTCTGTTGCATTGATTTTGAGTTTGTGTTATTGTAAACACTGAAATAATGCATCCAAGTTGAGTCTTTTGATACCATTCAACCACTATTTTAGTTTGTTTAGTGTAATGGACTGTCACACTAGATTTAGATACATTTTATCGTGCATGTCTTTACTTTTTTCTGTCCTGTAGTAAAAAAAAACGATGTGAACTAATGCAGACACATATTCATGTAGATTGATTCCTCCTTCATTTATTGTGTTCTTTTTACAGTGCTTTCTTAATAAACAAATGAATCAAAATTGTATTTTCTCCTACTTTGCAAGTTATTAATTAAATTATTTATACATCAGGTGAAATCCCTGTACAAATGACTTTATTTGCCTTAAATACCCATTTGTAGTACATTTTCATTTTGTACCCAGCAGTATGTACATGTATGTTGCTTTTCTTGATAAATATACATAATGGAATGAAGCTTTTATTTACATTAGAAGCACAAATGGAAAACACCATTTCCTCAGTAATACATCTGTACAGGCTTCATCACAACGCTTAGTTTTGCTCTACTTTTTTGTTCTTGAAAATCTGAATCAGATCCAGTTTAATTGATTGACTCACTTTGGGTCTCAAGTTACATGTTTGTAAAGTTGTTTTCTTGTTGTCAGTCCTAGTTTATGTGGGAGGTCCAGTCTGATTCATGTCTTTCAGGCTGGACAAGAGTGACAACATTGCATGCACAGTGATCAAGTTTGATCAATAGGTTCTGTAAAGGGGTAACTCTGCAATACTTACTTCATAGCATACCCCACCTCAGTGAACACTAGAGCCAAACATGAAATAGCATGGCTACAACACACAAGTCCCCTGTCTCACGTTACATTTTTCCTAGTTGTGGGAAGGGTGCGATCGCTGCTACTCTAACTCCAGTCCAGTCAGAGCAGACAGGGATGACAAATCACAGATGAATGCTGAGTTAATACCTTCTCTGTCCAGAAGGAAGAGCTTCAGTTTGTGTCATCATCATCATCCCCCCACGCCTTGTAGAAGAAGCCAGACGGGACTAATTTTAGCATCTGCTGATAATGCTTCTCCAGTCAGAGAATGTGCCACTGTACACCCTAAAGACGATGATATGGACACAATAGAGGCTGCAATAAACATAAAACTTTAGTATGTGTGGTCTTGCACGAGATAAATCTGATCTGAATCTGACGCTTTCAATGCATAGTTCACAGTACATCATGCTAGGAGCTCAAATGTTCATTATTTACAATGTGCTTGAGACATGAAGGACTGAAGGTGGAAGGTTACTGAGGCTACTTCTTCTGTGTCATTATTGCTTTCTTCCTTCCAGTCCTAAACAAGTTAGACATGTAAATGTATCTCTGTGGAACTGAAATAACTGATTTATATTATTACAAATCAATGGCACTATGTGATGACTGCTGATGTGGGTTAATCTACAATATGAAATGTAACACTGGCTTTCAAGTAGAAGTGTATAACTGAATCCATATTAATGAGTGGGTAATTCTTATATTGATCCACTATAAACTGAGTCTCCAGCTCTGTCCCGATTGTAGTTACACACATTTGGAGTTGCACGTGTATTTCAGAACCAGTCTGCCTCCAATCTCATTTTATTTTAGTCTTTATGGCCCTAAGAAATGACCATAGACCCGTGCTCCAATCATCTCAGTGACCATGGATATTGGGATTCTGTAACATCATTTCATGTGTAATTTGTTTCACAAAGTCTTTTCTAATAAGGACATGAACAAACGAAACAAAAAAACAAAAATCAAACTAGTCATTTGTATACATCTTTGTACAAAGAAAATGAAAATCAAACGTTTCATCCCAGGCACATGTGGTAGAATCAAACCGGATATCTGCAACTCAGGACTTCACATGTCCCTCTTTGGGTCAAAAGACAGTGTACTGTAAGATGGAATGGTTTCTTGTGCAAAATTTAAACAAAATAAGTGCATGAAAGTTGATTTTTAAAATAAATCTCCAAATCAAACTCCTGAGTGAAACATGAATGTCAAAAAGTGCCCCAAAAAAAAAGAAAAGTGCAGAAATTAAAAGCAAAGTTTCAGCATTTTAACGGGGGCAGAGATTTAGTGCCCTTCCTTGCTTTTTCACAGAAGACATTTTGACATGTAGGAAAAGCACAGGTCTAAATAACAAATCAATGATGGCTGAATTCCACTTAGTTGCTTCAGTTTCAGGGTCCACATACTATTCATGCTCACTGTAACACCTGAATAGAACAGATCCATCAATAATTTTATCAGTAACGTCTGTGCTTTTCCTACTGTGACAAGTCTACTGTGGAGAAGACCTGTTGTCACAGCTTCGACACATACACACACAAATCAAGTATAATTTCCCAAAGCAGCAAATATTAAAACAAAGCCAATTCTTAAAAACTATGTATCAATTCATTATGTATGCTCCAGAATTCTCCTTGTACTTTTCCAGTTGTTAAAACATTTCAGATCAACTCCTGAAACTCCTTTGACTTTGTCTCCATTGGATAAAACGCAAAACCTCAGTGTGTTAACATTACATTTAGTTTCTATGCCGCTCTGTATTTGACAGTTTTCATTAGGGGGTAAAGAGGAAATGGTTTGCTAGTAAGTTAAGCATGATAGCATTTGACTATTAAGTCCACTGCTGCTGCTCTTCATTGAACACTGAAGTAGAGCTGAAACAATTAGCCAACTAATCAATTCATCATTTGATAGGAGATGAATTTAAATTCTGACAAGTGAGTTGTGTATCGGGTTAACTACCAACTACTCCACATAACATCATAAGTTGAATACACTGGGTGTTTTGGCTGTTGGTCATACTGTAAACACATGTAAGATATCACTTTAAGCATTTCACTGCCTTAAAGTTGAACAGAAAAGTATTACTGATGGACTGACAGAAAACAATGACCTGCTGCAACCCTACTCTGAACACTGAACACACACACTGTGACGATATTCTCAATGCAGGACATTTTCGCTCACACTGTCCAAAGTTGGGAATGCATCAGACACTTGCGTTAAGTTGAGCAATGGGGTTTTGTAAACAACAGAAACAATGCGATACACCAGCTGTTACATGTAATTCACATGACATGGGACATCAAGGATTGTTAAACAGTATGTAAATCAGACAAATGCACACATTCAGTTTTTAAAAGGCTAAACTTGTTTCCCACAAAAGTCACTGCATTGAATCAATGTGTCTGACAGTTTGCTTTATAGTTTGAGTTGGACTGATTGTTGGAATAAGAAGCTGCAAAACACAGGAACACAGAGATGATTGAATAAGGACAGGAAGGCTGCGAAGGAAGGCACAAGGTAGAAGCTGGTTCCCACAACTGGTCTTGTGTCAGTTTGTATTACCAAACTGGAGTTTGACACCACTGGAGTGTAAAGAGGCCATCTTTCCTCAAGCCAGCGATGAGGGACAACTTCAACCTAAATCTAAAGGAAGCAGCAGATCACATGACAGGAGGTTGGTCGTTCTCACTAAAGGTTCCCCCAGGTGTTTGGAGGTGGGAACTGGTCCACATCACCAGATTCATCATGAGATTTGTCCCCCAGGTTGAATGTCAGCTTGTACCGCAAACGTACTTTTTCCTGAAACACAAAAAGGTTTGATATTACATTGACAGTAATGTGTATTTGCTTGAGGTCTAATAAAAGTGTTGAATGCATTACCTTCCTCAAAAAGATATTTTTTAAAAACATTGTAAAATCATACATTGTTTACATCCACGTTTGTCTTCTTTGCTGCTTTTGGTGGTGCATCACAAAGTGTGTTTGCATGTTACCACTACCAACTCTACATTAGCGGAATAGGGTGAAACCAAAGGCAGGATGTGGATTACGTCGCCCACTTGCATGTGAGTCCACGTGCACACTACCAACAAATCAAGGAGCCATTAAAAATGAGTGGTCAAAAACTCCACAGGGTACCTTTAATTTGTAAGATCACTACATGTTTATTAAGTTAATAAATGCAAAGCCTATAAAGCAGTGTGTTTCCAAAAATGACATAGTATCACAATCAATGCCAATATGCACATTTAATTTATATCTCAGACTTTTATTGTCACTAATGACCTAACAGTATAATAATGTAAACATTATCTTTTCAAGATAAAAGACTGGAAGTTAGCATAATTACCAAATATGTCCAAAAATCAACAGGGACTCATCAAAACTATGGTTAAGAAAATGTATTGGTGTGACCTTCAGATATTATAATTATTATAAACTAGAATTCTTCATTCACTTCTGAAAGTGACATTCAGGTAAATGTGATGAAAATGACCAGTAAAAGCTGATGTATCAAACAGTGATGTTGATAGTATGATATTTGTTATTTGTTGGGGGTCAAGTGGCACCGTACCTTGTATGGGTTAGCCAGCAGTAGGATCTGTGTGACGGCGGCTGGAGGCAGGATGGGATTGAAGGCTGGGAGCTCGGTGCTGGATGGAGGCTGCAGCTTCACTTTCATCACCTAGGACACAGACAATCATTGAGTCCATTGCCTGGATATTTCCTCATATTGTAATCTTCAGGGTTGTTTCTTCTTTTAGCACTATATGGGGAGTATAGTTTTTCCAGCCATATAGAACCATGTAAGATCAGACATGGTTACAGACCTGACAGACCTGTCAACTGCTTACAGTGGATGCGTTTATTGTGCAATGTTATAAAATCTGAGCAGAGACTGCCTATCCTCAGTCATCTGTAGGTGCAGCCACTGACTCTTGCTTGCAAGCATTAAAGATGGTTAGAGATCCAGCACATTGTGTCAACTTGGTACTTGATTGCCAATTTCTCATCTGCACTAGAAAAGGACTAAAATTCAGTTGCAACCACAAAACGTAGAACATTTTAGTTGAAAGATATGGTTTCCACCTGACTGAATGTTAAGACTACATGCTGCTCTAATGCTGAGGAGGTAGAGGCTTGTGTGGAGAATTCAAATGGCTGTTTTTAGGACTGGACCAGAGACCCTTTAGGTATGGGATGGTGTCCCTTTGACCACTAGGTGCATCTGTCATCAGTATGAACAGCAGACAACGTGGACCTACCTTTGGTACAGCTGCTTGAAAGCGGATGTTAGTGACAGGAATGGGGGCCGAGGACAGCATGGAGATGATTACCACCAGCACGTCCGGCCGCGATGGAGGACAGTCACGGGCAAAGGTGAACAAAACCCGGAGACTGTGTTTGTCGAATACAGTCACTGGTAATAAGTTGCCTGAAATAGAGTTTCAGAAAATGGGGGAAAATGAAACAGGATGTATGCGAAATAAAAAAGAAAATGGCACCCGTGAGCGTCACATTTGAGTCTGCTGTTATTGGTTGTGCTTACTAGGTTTGATTGATTCCAGAGGCACAGTAACGTCAGCTAGGGAGATGTTGTCGTAGGGGTCAGCAGCAGCTACTGAGACTTTCTCAGCAGCCGTGAGACTGAGATTGGAAAGGAGGAGAGTGTCAGGTTGCTCTGGATGGCCGGCCAGGCTGGACGTGGGCCCCGGAGCAGGACCAGAGGAGATGGTGGTTGCATTTGGAGCAGGTCTAGAGTTGGTGCTGGACTTCTGCAGATCTCGTAAAGTGACTCTGGATTGAGGTTGGAGCTTGTCCCTGTATGTCGAAGAAAAAAAATATTAAAACACACAAGTCCCCTGAACAAGTGATTCACCAATGCTGTGTATTAAATTAGACTTATTAACTCCAGATCCTCCATAGCATACCATTTGACCTGCTGGCTCTCTGGAGGTAGGGACTGCTGCATCAAGGTCTTCCCTAACATGTCCAGCTCTTCCATGGGTTTAGGTGGAGCAGTGGGGCCCCCTACTGGTAGAGCCTGTGGTGTTTGAACCACAGCTGGTAGCAACACTGTAGCAGATGAATCTGTGCTATCAGAGGTCTGGAAAAAAAAAACAGAGTTAAAGTTTATGTGTATAAAGAGATACTTTTTTTTTTAAATTTTATTATCAGTCTTTATGTGTAGAATACTTCTGTGATTATCTGTGATATTTTAAATAATTCTGATAGCATAAGTTTTTGCTGGTAGAAGAGTCTGTTTTGAGACTTCCACTGGGTGGTGCTAAAGATAGATGTTTTAAAATTCTACATAGAATGGCTTGAATGTGAGCAGTACAGTATCATCTTACAACTTGCACCTGAAAAGAGTTCTGAGAGTCGCAGGTTTCCGTTACATTCAGTCCTAAGAAAACAGAGACAACAAAGGTTAAGTCAATTTCATTTCAAATGTAGCTATTTATAACATTAAAACGTAATGCGGTTCAAAAACTCTTCCTCAACTCAAATAATTCACTGCTAATGTCAGAGTTTGTGACATGTTTGGCTGAATGTAGAAAGGCTGTCAATGTGTGTAGCTTTGCTGTGGTCTAGCCAGATGTGGACTGCTTCTGAGGGTGCTGGGTTTCAGCCAATGGAAATAAAGTATAACAGTGCAGACTGAGCTGTCCTCACTTTGCTGACTTGTCCTTTTTGGCTCATTAAAAAAGTTAAGCTTAGTAATCTACCTTTGTGTTTACAAGCCAGATGAGTTTTTTGAGCTTACCCAGCGACATGAGTTCATCGTCCAACAAGCTGATGCCCATGTTCTGAGTCAGGGTCTGTAGGCTGGAGGGCTCTGCGTTGGATGGTGCCGTGTTGTCTGATGCATTGAGCCCCATCAGGTCTACGAGTGCTGAGCTGCTGCTGTCTGATTTGAACAGAGAATACCCATTGTGATCTCACAGTCTACAGAAATGTTTGGGAGAATTTGTTAAATTAATTAAGCAAATCACGCTTCACAGCCATTTTTTTTTTTGCCTTGAAATACACATGCATCTACCTGGTTGTGAGGGCATGGTTATGCCATCCTTCGACACATCCTCCCCCTTAACCAGCTGCCTGTACAGGTTGATTACCTGCGTCAAGCTGTCATTGGCCTGTAAGATATCCGCTTGTAAGAAGAAAAAAGGCTAATTAGCAACACCCAAGTGGTTCCATGAAATTTGTATGGGGAAAAAAGTGACTTCATAAATGTCTTATTCTGTTGTTATATCATGTGTAACTTACCCAAGGCTTCATCACTATCCTCTGTATCACTTGCTAATCGGAATAGCGTAGGCCTCATCTTTTCACAGCGCTGGTAAAGATCCTGCAAATAGACGGATGTTACAAATGCTGAAACAAGCGGGTGGTGCAAGCAGAGTAGCTGCAGCTAGTTTTAATGTGCTGAGCTGTGCTAACTTTAATGAGCTCCTGGTTGCTCTGGGAGCAGCTCTCCTTGCTGTAGCCCTCCAGCAGCTGGCTCAGCAGGCTGACGCTTTCCTTCACCTCCTGGATGGCGTTCAACCGCTTTGATACCTTCTCCACGCGCTTTTGGTCCTGGGGAAAGATAAATAGAGTCTCATAGTGCCCAGGATCAGTAGAAGTGAACAAATATCAAAAATGCAGCATTTTTGCAGACCTTCATTTCCTGACTGAATTTGTTCACCAAGGTGATTATGACACAAGAGACATGACAGTATATAGCTTATTTTACAGTTTTAGACTAGTCTTTATCACAATAAATGTGTGTAAAGGTCAAGCAGGTTTTACATTTACAAACCTTGTGAGTTAATATTTTACTTTACTACTAATTCATTAATTGCATATCATTCAACTGTTGATGAAAAGCAGTACTTTTTTAGTTTGTTGTTAAATCTGATACCTATATTTCATCAGTTCAAATCATGATCATTCATCTCAATTACTTAATAAGCTGTATTTAGTACTGCGTGTTAGCGTATTTAGTGCTCTTTATATAAACTATTTTGATAATATTCAGCAAAAAGTTTACATTGAAACTCAAGCCTGATGTTTGATCATCCCTAAATCAAAACCTTGATAATTAACTGGATATTCAGCTTCCAACATCAGTTGACAATGTTGGAGGAAATTGATTTCATGTCACACCAAAGTATTAATCACTATAATAATCAAAAATGTAAGTTGAAAAGGCCTTGAGACTACTATTCAGATTCATTAATGTCATCACAGTAGATAATCAGGTGTGTATTTTGTGGAAAAACACAGACACACATACTGTACAGCACATATGGTAAACACAACCGATGACACACCTCCTGGACCATTTCCTTAATGAGCTTGTTTGCTGCTCTTAAATCTTCGGGGTGGGTGCTGTTCAATAAGCGAGACAGCATCTACAAAAACAGGATAGGACCGAAGAGGGGGAGGAAAGAAAAGAGGAAGAGAACTTTGTAAACTGTCAGCCTCTGAACGATTTTCCCAGGAGATTAACTTACAGTATGGAACATTTTTTATGAATCGAACATGATGCAAGTCTTTCCTTAAAAAAATAAAAATAAAAATGAATGGTGCCTCTTCATCATCACTTAAACGTCATACCTTGGATTTCTCCTCATCCTCAAAGACGGCACTTTGGGCTCTGGGGGGAGGGGGTGGAAGGGGCTTGTCATCAGGAAGCACGGGGTCCAGCTTGACAATGCCTGGAAGGGAACAAGGACACCTTTTAACCTCACATGTCAACATCTGCCATCTCATATATTTACACTGTATATAGATCACAGTTACAGAAAGTCCCTCTGACGATACTGGTGCTGTTACATTGTATGGAGTGCTACAGGAATGAAACCTGGAACTGAGCTAGCTTTTTTTCACATTGAAGTCCATGGGTTTTTGGTTAGATGCCTAAAACAAGGTCTGAGGTTAACACAAGCTTAAGAGATTTTTATCTTTTGTTCTGACATAAAATACATCAGTAAATATCCTACTCACTAGTCCGTCATTACAGCCTTTTTGCGATTATACTTGTGCTCCTGTAAACTATTCCAACTCAAATTTTACAACTTGTAGATTTTAATTTTATAGATTTGTAGATTTCTTGTAGATTTTGTTGTTTTTTTTATACGGTTTGGGGACTTTTTTGCCTTTAACTGATAAGATAGCTCAAGATACACAGGAAAGGGGGAGAGACAGGGGATGACACAAAGCAAAGAGCCACAGGTTGAACCCTTGGCTGCAGCCGCGAGGACTCAGCCCTGGTACATGGGGCGCCAGCTCTACCAGGTGAGCTACCACAGTGCTCCTTAATTACAAGATCAAATTACAAGTTGGAAGATTAGTGGTGGTGAATTTAAAGTCAGGCAAACATTAGCTTTTTACTTACATACATACATACATACATACATACATACATACATACAATAAATAAAGGTGGTGTTCATTTGTGAAGATTTAACAAAAACATGTAGGTATCATGAACCTTTGCCCACCAGATTCCACAACGGAAAATCCCAATGGCCTTTTGCTGAAGGAACCGTGGCGATACTAACTTCCGTGTTGGCCTACAAACATACGTCATCCCTGCAGCACTCTATATCACTCTTCTTTTAGATAAATGTGAGCTCACTGTAATAACAGATTCAGTTGTATTCTGTCAAAATACACCAGAAGCCAATGCCCTACATGAGTACTGATACTGCAGTAATTCTGGACAGCTATTGTTTGGAAACTGCATTTTTAAGATCACACAAGATTCAACTAAGCATGACTAAGGACATTAGTCTCATGCTTGTGGCTCATCATCATTAAAAAAGGAGAACTGATACTCCCTTGTACAAAACAGTATTTGGTAAAACAAGGGAAATATGAGGAACCAAAACAGATTATCAATGAAATATGTGAACTGAAAAACATATTTACAAGCCACTGTAAGCTAAATGTATGGAATATCAGACCATGCACATAACCATGGATAAAATGAGCAACTTCAAGCTAAACAACTTGTCTATTATCTTAATGTTTAGTCGTGTTCTCAAGCTTCTGGAGCGGCTCACCCTGTTTTTTCAGCATCTGATAGGCGTCTGCTATCTTGGTCTCATCAGGCAGCCTCACTGTCCAGCTGTACACCATTTCTAACACCTTCTTCTTCACTGGCTCTGGAGCCCGGGCACCCAAATACTGCAGAGACGAGGGGATTAATGCAAAGAAAAATGTGTTTATGCTTTAACAACTACAACAACTACATAAATACACTGACAGCTGACTGACCCTGGTATGTGGTTTTCTTCCCCTCCCCTAAGGTTTTGACAGCCACTTAAATGCTGCTTTAACTGGTTAATAAAACTCTACAAAAATAGTTCTCATGGATGTAAAGTTTCAGACAAACTGGTATGACAGCAGAAAAGATATGGATCATTACCTTGGGTGAGACCACCTTGATGAGCTCATTGAGAAAGCGAAACTTTCCCACTTCACTGTGAAAACGCTTTCCACAGTTCTTCATGCACGTCTCAAGAACCTGGGAATTGTTTAAAGTTTTTGTTTTACCTTTGTACAGACAAGCCTTAACAGAAAAAGAAAATATTCACTGTAAAAAATAATGACATGTTGCTTTTAAAGGGGGCGTTTTCAGACCTTTACACTCGTGAGCCACATAACACACGTAAGCAACACTTTGAATTGAAGTTTTGATGGATGATCTCTTACCGTAAGCGCTTGCATAGCCTCCCACTCCTGGGGAGACTGGATTTTATGGGCCAGAAGTCTGGTTGCAAGCTGGGGACTGAGAGATTAAAACTAAATGTAACCTTCATTTTACAGACACACAAAAAAGGAGTCAAGATATGACTTTGAAATATACCACAAAAAGACTAAACACACACAAATTATCTGGCATTGCTTGAAGTAAAACACAATTGATATTAAAAAAAGACATATTATGATGGAATATTACACAGCTTACAGGATGACACAGCTGTGAAACTGGATAAACTATTAAATAACAGTTGGCACAGCACTGACTTGTTTCTGCATTTTGTATGATGTGAAGCAGAACAACTACTCTAACATTGTGTGATATTCTTTATCGTCATCATCATCATCATCTCACCCTTCTGGCTCATTTTTGAGCTGATCACAAAATCCCTTGATATTGTCCCAGTCAGTCTCCTTATTCAAAGGGTTTGTGGCCTTGTCTGTGCAAAAGGAAAGAGACATTAGACTAAATACAACTTTAAAACTGCAGCATGTGAGGGCATTTACATTAAGCAAAAAATATAACAAAACTCGTGACAGTCTTAATTTCAGATTGTGTGTGAAGCCTGTCAAACCTCAACAACCTCTGGCTTTTACAGCTGTTAGGTTGAGAGCTCAATCTCAAGTCTGACTGAACGCCTGTGACCCCTGTCAGCAGCTGTAACCTGGGGTTGTTTGCAATATGCAAACTATCTTTTCTCTGGTTGGGAGCAGACTAAGAGTTGCTCGTGTTGGCAGAAAATGTGTGAGTGAATCCTGAGTCTATGGACGGTACAGTTCCTCCTTTTGGGTTCGTTCAGGTGGCTTGTCTCGGTCCTTGAGGGGGAAATGGTCAGCAGCTAACTCACGTTAGCTACGCGGTTGTGTTAGCATTCAGCTGTAACGTTACATTAGTAACGTAACGTTAGGGTGTTTTTACATTTAAAATGTCATGTTCGTGTAATGTCACTATCCCCGAACTGTCAGCAGTAAACATAACGTGAGATCAAAATATGATCGCAGCACAGCAACGGTGATATAACGTTATTATCTGAGTTTGTTCCTTATCGACAACTGCACTTTTTGATTTGATGACATTCGCTCTCTCGACTCTCAATAAAAACCCTGAATTCCCAAAAGGGACAGCGCTATGAGCGACAGCGGCAAATTCAAACTGAGAAAATATCTCCTTGTCCCTTAACAGCGGGTGGGCTACTGCTTTACGTTCAATCTGATACTGTACAGTACACGATGACTTACTGATGCGAGACTGTAGGCTAGCCTCATCCGGAGGCGCCGCCGCCATCTTTCGGGAATTCTAAACAACTGTCCACTATCGCGTGAGTCTTTGTAACGTATCGCGTGGACAGCCGTTGGAACCGCGAGCCTGTAGCTCCCCCGGTTGGACTACAACAGAAACAACAACGTGACATTGAGTAGGGGGCGGCAGGGGGCGGCAGGAGGCAGCAGGAGGCGGCAGGAGGCGGCAGGAGGCTTCACTCAACGCAACTGGGATGGTTTAACACCGCTGCTGGGCTGCTTTGTTCAACCTGAATTGTTCAGGATATATTTTTGTTTTTATAGTTGGCTTTAATTTGGTTGTCACCAAGGGAACGTCGCGGGTAGGGCTCGGTAACAGACTGTTTTTAAACCCAGCGTTACAATCTATGGTTTTAACAACCTTTGCAGTCACTGCACCAGCAAACAACAACCGTGCTGTGGGCCACCTCAAGGAGGAAACTGTCACCTCTGCTTCGACTGAAACTGTACCGTCGCCCTGAACCTGACAGAGTCAATCATCACACCGCCAGCGCTCACCAAAAACAAGCGAACCAGCAAACCTCAGACACCCGGCTAGCAGCGGGCTAACAGCTAGTTAGCTACGTTGAATCGACTGACGTTACGTCAAGAACTTTGTTGGCAAGCTACTGCTAAGTTACCAACTCTGGATATCAGCGGCGTTTTTAACCCTCTGCTTCTGGTCAAAGTTCCAGTTTAGATGCAGATACCGCTATCTGAATCACTTGGTACCGGAGATAAAGTGGGAGCATCGGGCACATTGTTGTTGCAAAACTTAGCTAACACCCAGCTAGCTTTCAAGCCATGCTAGTGTTTAACGTGACTCACTGGCTGTTAATGAATGTATCGTATCGGAACAGCGGGTGTTGTCTGGAGGTCGCCCCTTCACTGAAACGCTGCTGATGACTCGTTCATGACTGGAGAAAAGACCTGCTGTCCTCTCCTGTCACGCCTGAGACAAAAGAAACTCGCTTTTATTTGACAAGAATCGTTTGATTTCTATGACAGCAGTATGATGGGATCTCTGAAGGCTCTGCAGGAGTGGTGTCGGATACAGTGTGAAAATTACAACGATGTGGAAATAAGGGACATGTCAACGTCCTTTCGGGACGGTTTGGCGTTTTGTGCCATAATACATCGTTACAGACCAGAACTGATGTAAGTAACCTGAAGTCTAACGATGAAATGTTGACACTAACCAAGCTAATGTTGAGCTATGAGAAACCCGTTCACAGTGGTTCAAGTTAACGGTAACGTTGTTTACTATGATAGACAGGATTTGGCCGGTTTTAGTGACAGCTGGACACTTCTTTTTTAAGGAGTGACAGGCTGCTTATTGTTGTCTTTGAATTGTTTTCAAGTAACTAAGTTATTTCTGTAAGGGTAGTAATTAGTATATTAATCCATTCAGATACAAATTAATGTTAAGGCCCGGGATTATGCACGGCTCCTGTCAGCAAAGTGTTTTCTTTTTTCAATATACTTGTAGAAAGCTGTCGATTAATGGCTAGACAACTTTTGTTAAACAAAAAAACCAACCATGCCATTTATGTTATATTTGTCAACGTTGTACGTATTGTGTAGGTTTTATTATAGCCTAAAACACCAGTAAAAAATATTTCTGAACATTGTACAGTGAGAGGCCAGTGTGCTGTAATTAACTCAGGCTGACAAGCCATGTCCTGTCTGTAACAACACACCCCTCCTCTCTGCATTTCACACCTATACACACACACACAGTACAGAAACCTCCACAAAACACAACCGCAGTATCAGTGTGACTTAAAATGACTTTAGAGATGAGGAAATGATCACTTTCCACTATTTTGGTAGGGACAGCAAACAGAAAATACATTACTCAGTTATTAACTCATGGTTAATAAGGGAGTTTGACCATCGTTTGCTCAATTACACCAAAAAGACAAATGATGTTTTATTTAGTGAGAGACAGCCTCTCAATACTTCTATCTCCCATAGAAGCGGCCCATCATGTGATTGTAAGAAATATGTTTCTAAAAGTTGCGTGTCAATATAGGTAAATCATCTGATTTGAAAAAAATCCTTTTTCTTTTTTTTTTTTTTTTTTTTTTTTTTTACAGTTTTGACAGTATAGACATGAAATTGCTGATCTTCATGTGACTCACTTGGACATGCATTTCTGTGGAAAAGCCCTAGTCCCGTGTAACATAATGTGGCTCTGTGTAGCTCACTCTGCTGACAGCATCATTAGTGGTTTTATTGCATCTGAAACAAGTCAACAACCTTTTGTTGTTGTTGGAGCATTGTGTAAAAACACCCTGGAAATGACATGTTATGTATCTCCATTGTCCTGGAGGAAAAACGGGTGTGATGGAATCATTTTGGATAGTTTGCATCTTGCTCATGCTGCTACCTATCAGGTGGTCCAGACTTTTGTGAGCAAATTGGGCCATGCTTGGGTGGGAGTAGGGCAAACATTCACTGGACCAGTCACTGAAGGACAGGTCAGTGAAGTGGAATATATCTGCAAACACAGCACGGCAGAAAGCCGAAAGTAAGAGAGTGGGCAAATCCTAAACACCCGGCTTTCGAGCTCTGCCTCTTCAATTTGTGTCCCAGCATGCATCCCTGTTCAGCCCTTTGTAAAGCTACAGTGGCCCAACCGAACTCACTCTGATCCAGACAGACAGTCCGTCAGGCTAATCTGCAGCTGAGACCTCCGCCTGTCAAACTGGATTTAGCTCTAATGTTGGGCCAGGCCATTGTAGCGCTGCCCTGCACTCTACAGCCAATGTATTCTCATCAATATACATCATGCAGAGGAGAGACGTTAGTGCGGCGAATGGCCTCATCTGAGTTTCAGCCGAGACCAATGGTCACTCAACCCTGTGGAGAGGGAGTAGATATGGCTGCAAGAAATCATCCATGGCCTGGTTAACTAAAGTGCATGGGACAGTCAAAGTCACATTTGAATTAAATTTGGTTCATATAATGCAGCTCCTGTTCAAACCTCATGATGCAATATAGCAGTGCAAACAGTCACATCATCCACTTAGATTTACTTTATAATTTTTCTGTGTCCTTTCAGTGTTGACATTTGTCTCCATAATGCACTGGTTTTGCCTCACCTACTCCTGTACAAAAGCTCCTGATTATGACGCATTTATAAGTTTAATTTGTAATTGTTACAACCTCACCAAATCCCAATCCTGTACAATAGCACCATTTTTCCCATCTGACTGAACCAGATTTAGCAGATACACCGGTTCGCCCGGGTTTTGATCATGTGGATTTGAAATGCCTGACACACAGTACACACACCGATCCTCAGCAGTCCTCTTTCCCAAAATAAACCTCAGAGTGAGACTCTGAGTCACAGTGGATTAGGTTTGCAATTTGGATTGCACACTGCGCTTCATCATCCATGTCAGTGTCTGCTGGCACTGTCTGTTCTGTCTGTCAGTGTCAAAAATTTGAACTCACGACAGTCTTTGTGATGTTTTTCTTATGTTGCTGCAGTTCCACCTGGCTATGTTGGTAGATGTGACATAGTGGACTTGTTTTGACGTGATCTTGACATTATAGCTGCTGCTCTGTGTGTTTGTGACCATGGGAACTAGATTAGAGAGAACAGAGGTCACTTTGTGTGGCTCCAACACGGAGCTCATTCATAGGGTTTTGCCTTCTTGAGAGTTCCACATGGTCTCCACAAGCTCTCACCGGGGTCATGTTTTTTTTTTTTTTCCACCGTTCTGTTGTCCTACTACCACACACTGGTGTCAACATATGCGTATTTATGCACACAGCAACACTTTCATCCCTGAACACCTCCAGACATTTTCCAGTTTTACTGCAGGATGTTTACTGGTGAGAGGTCTGGCTTTAGTTCCTCGCTCCAGGCATTTCAAAGCAGAGCCTTGTAATTATCAGCCCATCACTCCTGTTTGATGCAACCACTTCTTTCCTCTTGTTCTGGCAGTCTTTCACATAAAGCATCATTTATGTGTGGTTTGGGACCAATTGTCAGTTGCGGTAGTTGGGAAGCTTAACTGCTCACCATTCCTGCCCGTCATGCTGTCAAGCCAATAATAGCTTTTTGATGGTTCACAACATAAGTGGAAATAGGTCAGCAAGTTATATACAGTACCGTCCCATATCAGCATGGCTTGGACAGTTATAGTATTTCTTCATGGTCTTCTGCTAGGGTCCTGATATAGAAGAAGATACCGTGGTTTACAGTTGTTGCAGGCTGTATAACTGTACAGTGACTACATGCATACGCAGCCATATCTTGTTTTAAATTTTTAAATTTTATTTTCTGTCTTGTCATTCCAGAGACTTTGGCTCGCTGTCTAAAGAGAATGTCTACGAGAACAACCGACTGGTGAGTCAATTTAGCTGTATGTTTTGTGGTTTTAACACTCCTGTGATCTTGTGTGCATGATGATTTCATTTTGTGTGACATGCAAGGTTAAATCACCTATGAACTAATTCATATCTATTGCATGTTTTCCGCGTGTGCTTCATTCAGCTCTAAAATTAAGCCTTCTGATTGCATGCAGCCATGGTGGGTGTGAGTTCAGTGTATTTGACTGTATGTGTGGAGAGAAGTGTTACTTAATCCTGATGGAGCCAGTCTAGGGCAAACAGGGAGAGGGAGGAAACCAGAGCATTCAGAATCATAAAAAACGTTCCTGACATAAGCCTCTGGAGAGACCTTGTAAAGAGGATTTCAAGTGCAAAGTGCTGAATTTGCAGTTTATTATATGTCAGTGAATTGAAACCAGCAAAAAACTTTCTTTAAATCACATCCCTTGTTGGGTTTTTCCACATTGTCTGTAAGCCAACAGAACATTGAGGGATGAAATGGGAGTCTCCTCATTTTCACTCTGAGCTAAGCTTTGGCTGTCCTTTGCTGCTGTTTACATTCTTTTTATCCAACAGCTTTTAGGGAAAGTGAGGTAGTTGGTGGTAGCATCAGAAACAAACTCTCAGTGTGTACAGACAGTAATTCACTGTATCCATTAGGCTTGAGTTTGAGTGAGTGAGTGTAGACTGTTAATGTGAAAAGCACT